TAATTTTTGATATTTTCAAATGTTGCATCTGCCTTTACCAGCGTGATTAATGACAGCAGCTATAGAGAAATTCATGTTGAGATTTTAATAGTTTTACGTGTGTTGTTTTCAATGACAATTTTATCCTGGTAATTCTCAGTACTAGGCAACCGTTTCCGTGGCAGCCTAGGTATAGGGTCAGCATGCAGAGAATCTGTCGTTGTGTTAATCATAACGAATCCATTCTCAGTGAAACAATTCTCTACAGTAGGCCTATCATCACTACCATTATCTGTTTCACCATTCACGTGACAGAATCCATTGTCATCATCATCCGAAGCAGTAATGCCTGTATCATCAGCAATGTTGCCATGGTTACCGTATCCATATATGTAGAATAGGTTATTTACTCGTACGACAAAATCAGTTAGGTTCGGATAAGAGTTAATAATGTTAGAGAAGTCGTGACGAGGCAATGTGGCATAGCGAATTATGTAACAATGAGCAAATACAACAGCATCCAGTTCAGTTGGGCTAGAATTGAAAACAAATGTTTCAATTATTCCATCTGCCACAATTGAGAGTGTAATGTTAATTTAGCATTTTCTTAAATCTGAATCTGAATCTGAATCTGGGTCATATACAAAACATCAGCCATAAAGCATATAAACTCACACATTGTTTCATGAACTTTCAAATACTGTATTCTATAGACTTTCATACGATTTCCCTGCACCTCATGATTCTAGATGCATTTATTTATAAGTCTTCTAAATCTAAACTATAGCATTGGTTAACCAGACTACCACCAGCAAGATGTCCATTCATTTTAATTTATTTTACTACCAAAGTTTAAAGAGTTCAAGAAAATAAGGAAATTACAACATGCCCAACAGCCTAAGCCTTGCAGGGAAGCAAATTATATCAAATAGTATGGATTATTGTTTAAATTCAGTTGCATTATCAGATTAATATGGTCATTAAAGTTGCAATATGAAGGTGTTGGACTTATTCCAATTATTGTTCTGAGAATTGCTTATTACATTTCAATCAAATATCACTATCATAAAAAATGCACTTAATCCAAGATGTAAAGTTGTAATTATTCTACAATGAAGCATGGATGTATCTGTATCTTTATACACGCATACGTATTGTAAGCCTAACTATTATATCCTATGTCTTTACATTCCTTGGAACTATTTTCAAGGCTTACTAAAAGAGCCCTTGTCAAACTGGGGTTATTGAGGGTCAAGGTCAAAGTCACATCTGACAAATCAAAGGTCAATACAGTAAACAGTGTAGATCCAAACACATCTCTAGTCTGAACACCTCTCATTGTGAAAACTTTTTCTTGATGCCAATTTTGTTTTACTAGTATAGTATCCCTTTGACACTCATTGCAATGGGATGTCAAGGTCACCTGCAAAGCTGATCTCTTACGAGTGTTGGGTTTACGGTCTGAGGTCATTCAAACAGTTACACTAAATAAACATGTGCCAGGGTTTCTGCCATTGTTTATGTCCCATTCAAATGAGTAATCTACGAGTTGAATTTAATTAGTGCTTACATGATCCAAATACTAATGTAATCTTACTGCCATATAATATGGGATGGTGATTAAACTATGGCTCATTGGCTCTCAATTTAAGACGTGAAGTAGTGCAGATAATTAACAAGTCTTAGCATTATTGGTCACAAGACACTGTCTTTTCCCACTTTTTTATCCCAAAATTTAGAATTGCCAAGTAATTTTCCCAGCAAGACCAAGACTTGATCTTGGAACTAGTCTGCTCTTGCATATGTAAAAGATTCAAATTGAATAGGTAAGTGTAACAGTAGGGTGCGCTTACAGCTAGCCTGCCTGCCCCCCCCCCCAATCCAGACAAACGCACATTCATCAACACAATACAACAGTATGAGGGTATTTGCTTTTAATATTGGAGCGAATAAAATAGCTTAGTTCATCCTGAAAATTCGGGAATATGTTGTGATTAGTTTGAGATTGGTGATGCAGAATGTGTAAGATTGTGCTCTAATTTACATAAAAAAAATTATTTAATAAATGTGATCTTCAGTACAACACACAGAAAGATTAATGAAAACCTTTCAACATAATTTAATGTATGTAAAAAAACTTATTAACTCTTCAGCAGTTGTGCAATTAATCGCAATACAACTTACAATAGCATAAATAATCTAATAATTGGATTTGCTCAGCCTTAAGGGGGTATCAACACTTACATGTAGGTTAAGGAGCTTCACAAAGCCCATTTTGTCTAAGAAGCCTCGCAGGAAACCTTGACCTATTAAACTGACCTTGACCCTTCGGGATACTGAATGTCAGGTAGTCCTAAATACAATTCTGATCTTTGTCATTTCAGATGATTGTGATAAAGATGGCATTGATCTTATGTGACATTTATACTGTAATAATTAAGAGCTTCAGTGAGCCTTAAAGTGAAAACACCCATAAATATTGACATCTCAAGTAGCATAAATTTACCTGTAAATGTGGCATTGAGCTTTCATAACCTGAATGGTGTGACATTGAGTCCAAAAATTGCAAAATCGATTGGCATTTGACACATTGGGTTACCTTGATTCCATCCCTCAACGTTTCAATTTAAACCTACATTCCCTCTGATGAATCCTGCCTTGTTTGGTGACTTAGTAATCATAGATCACAGTGTAACCATATTCATCCCAGATACGACAAAGTCATAAATGCACATACCAAGAGGTGATTCTATAATGGAAGAGCCTGCTTTGTGAGTTTTAATATTCCACATTTGATATCAATACTTGATCAGATGTAACACTTCAAGGATAAACTCACCAAACGTAAGAACATGAATGAATCTGCTTTGACATTTTCAATTCCAACGCAACTAACTCTTTCTACTATAATCATTAATTAATTAACACAGCAACTATGTACTCATTAACTAAAGCACCACATTAGTATTAAATCTTTGCATGGCCTATTTCATATGATCTTAATTTTATCTTTTTATGACTAATTTACTGGTGTAGGTCAGATATGGTTATTAATTCAATTCATATGAATATTGCTAAAAGGAATTATATTGTCAGTGATCTAAAATGTAATTTGATAAAAGTATAAGCTACATCCTTATTATAAGTGAGTGAGAACTGATGGAGATATCATTTGATGAAACTATTTTATTAATTTCATTATGTAATTGCTCCCATCTTTTAAAAAGCCACGGTCTAAAAAGAAACTTTGCCTCAATAAAGAAACTTTGCCCCACTCTTTGGTCTAAAAAGCACTTAACATGTAAAAGTTGAGGTAGTGTCGAGATTTTTAGGAAATATACAGGATTTGTATATGCTCAAAATCACCCTCAATCTACAGAAACTCTAAAGGAACATGTTATTTCATTCTTCAAGCACTGAGTGCTCTCAAGGTTTGCTGTAGAAAGAAATAAGCAATTTGCCTCACAACATGAGAATATCATCCATTGATATCAATGATAAAATTAATATAGGATTGTGGCTTGTATAATTCCCCAATCAGGCAATATGGGAATTATAGAATATTTAAAAGAATGGATAATTTCCTCCTCATGGAGTTGCATGTGGGTGAATAAATGAATGATAAATCCTAATTGAATACGAAATTACATAACTTGCAACTCACTGATACCATGATGTCATTTTGATGTACATTTATTTCCATCTGATTAATGGATTATAGAATTAAATTCCAGCAAAAGAATAGCCAGACATTACATAATGTTCTCTAGTTAATTATGCATAAGCATCAGGTGCATCAACAGATTGCATTGTGATATAAGGAACAGAATATGAGCAATTTATCTAATTTTATAAAGGATCTAGTGCACCCGCCATTATGATCTCCATATGAACAAAATGAATCATTTTTAGGTGTAACATAAAGAATACAATGTCACATAATACTGTTGAAAATATTTAAGCGTTTGGACCCACATGGGCTGAGGTTGAGGTCATTAAGTTCAGCAAGGGTGTATTGACTTGCCATTGGATGTGGTTCATTGACTTAACATGTGGATATCATCAGATTCCAATGAAGGCCATTGGTTTCTATTGATTTTCACAAAAATACCTAAAATACACTATGACCTGAATCGATTGCAAATTAAATAATTTCACAATATGACACAAATGGTATATCACATCAGATGTGCAAATATAAAGTTTGCAATCGATTCAGGTCATACTTCAAATTAAAGGCTTAGACATTTTTTTCATCATTTTTTTCCCTACAAAATGGCTATAGGAAAATGCTTCAAAAGCAACTTTTACACTTATGAAATCCCATACAACTTTGTAAATCCAAAGATTATACTGTTATGTTTCATTAATTAATAACATATTTGGATAAGATGTAGGGATGTGTAGGATGCAAATGGATTTTGACAGACACAAAAACACTTCCTGGTTTGGCATCTCAACCCCTGTACACTTTATGATTGAATATTGGCCCTAATAAGTGGCCCATTCATCAATACAGTGCTGAATATAGGTCAAAAAGATACTAGTGTACATATAAATGTAATAATAAAAGCAGTATTTTTATTTTGAAAAATCAGATGAATTATTTTTTTCTCATGGGGAGATCCCAATGGAGGGTGTATAAGGTCCTTTGTTACTTGAATTATGCAAGCAATGCCAGACAGTTTGCGTGCATTTTAGAATCATGTACAGAAGATCATGCTAGGCCCTAAAAGCTAGCTCACAAGTGAACAAATATCATCGTTTTGTCTTCACAAAGTTTATTTTTAACAATACTGCAACATGTGTAGCACATAAATACATGAAATACACTGAACAAATCGGTTAAAACAATCCGAATTAGATTCATACACAAAGGTATAGAAAACAATAAGCAAACGACGGGGTAATATAAGTGTTCAGTATAGGTAAGATAATGAATGGAAGCACACGCTGTATTGAAACATATTAAATAAGTTTTACGAGTTGCTATTAAATCCTAGTGCCTAATTCATTGAAAATTAATCTCCATTCAGTTTAACAAAACTATCGTCACTATTTTCTCCATTGCTAGTTTGTCCATTGCCCTCCTGGTGGCGCTGAATTTCAGCTGTGCTGTCATTACGCCAAATCTCTGTGAAGTATTTATTGTCAATGTGAATGCAGAATGCTGCAAGGTTTTCAAACTCACCAACAATGTGAGCTAAGTCCATCTTAGGTTGTGAAGTTGATAAAATAGTGAATAAGTGACCGAAAACTAGGGCATCGATCTCAGATGGTCTGTAAGAGCAACATAAAATCTGCTTCATAAAACACTCAAAACCCTCAATTTTACTTATTTTTACAAAAACAATGAAAATTTAGAATTTTATAAAAGATATCTACACTATGTACAGTACAATATTCAAGTAACATGACGTGTTATTGTATTACTGACAAAACAAAAGCTATGCCATCTATCCTATGACTGATAAATAATTTTAACGGTTATCAGATGTTCTGAATCTTAGTCTACGATTATGTCTAGATTTACCATTGAACACAATGGTTGATTTTTCAGCGTCATTTTCATGTGGATGTTCGAGATTGTAGAACAATGCACCAACAGTTTGACACAGGTTGTTAAGGTTACGGTGACTTGAAGCTATCTCTATAAAGAGATAGTGAGATAGGGTGTAGTCAGATAGGGTGTTAAGGTGTGCAAACACTGCAGCATCAAGCTCACTAGGACTGCAAGGAAACAGACAAGGAAACAGACAAGGAAAGCATGCATAGAAGACTAATACAGATCAACATGTACAGAATTGTAGCCAGGGACAGTTTCAAGACATTGCAGATCAAAATGGCTGATTTTCAAATGTACTTCATGAAACAATATTAGAGCAATTTTAATGTTGTTTGTTATTTTAATGTTGCTAATGTTGTTTTTGAAAAATAGACCCTTGGCCGGGGTTAATGTTGCAAAAATCAAGACTTTGTACAATGTACTTTACTGGCAATTCAGATGATTCTAATGATTCACTAAAATAATAATCTAAGCTAAATATTCATATTGTTGATCTAGTTCTAATTTATACTTTCATTTATCTCAACTGGCTACAATCCAATACTGTAAAATAAGGGGAAGAAAATAAGGTGGAAATGTTGCAAGGTTCTAGCATTAATACATACAAAAAATGTACATAAGTAAAACATGTATATATTTGTAGAATGCTCAAGATTGAACACCTGAAAATGACATTTTACATCGAAGATGTTTGAATGTAGATGTCCAATTGACATCTATGATATAGGCCCAATTCCCATTTGTGTTTAATATTGACATGTTTTACTGTATATACATGGAGTTGGTTGCAGCATGTTTCCTATTTATACAACAGAAAACAAATGTTTGCAAATTGTTTTTGGTAAGATAAGCAAAGCAATGTGCTATACACGAGGTAATCTGTTAAAATCAGCTCAATATCACAACATACAAAGTACACGTACACCCACACACACATTCTCCAGTGCACACGTATAACTTATACTGTGAATTAATTACTCAGTATGAACATTCAATGAAAGAAGACAATTTTGATGCAATGTTTCATATTCTGAATAATTTGTTGACATGTACAGGTACTAGACATTTCTTAAGACAGTTCTAGACTTATGTGGTATCGTACATTTCAACATGACTAGGGTGACATCTATTACAATCCCTGGTGATTATTGACACAAAAATGTAATCCAGGTACAGAAGGTTGTATGATCATGATTAGTGTTCTTTATAATCTAATTTTATATGATTTTCCAAAACTTTCAATTGTGTGCATCCATTGGGAAGCAACAGCGACATAAAGCCTTTATTAAATGTAACACAAAAAAGCTAACAATTACACAATGCATCAAAATATGTCAAACCATTTGTGAAAAGTGCTCCACTTAAATTAATAATTAAACCCATCAAAATATTCTTACCGATTGCCGAAGAAATATTGCTGATTGCCTAGCCTTTCCGAAAGTGCTGAGCAACACGTCCTAACCTCCTCACAGACCTCTTCATATGTCTTCTGTGCCCAGCCAAGAGCCTTCAGTTTGCGCCCGATCTCCATCTGTCGCTTCCAAGGCAAAATTATATTCAGAGGCCAAGGGTAGGGGGAGCCGTACCTAATTTTAGTCACCTCTGTATAAGTAGTGGTCTCACACCATGTTAAATAGAGCTGAAAACATATGATTAGGTTTACTGTATTTTTTTCTCTAATTTCAAATGTATCTTTCATACTAGCAGCAATGCAAAAGTTATGGGTTTCTAAAGTTTATTTCTGTGCCCATTAACATGATTCTTTTTTGAAACAAAACTTTGATCATATTATATCATGGAGCATCGTACCTCAGCATTCACCATAACTTTGTCAATTAGAGACATATAAGCTCTCATCTCTGCTCTCTCTGAATCATTGAGGTTGTCACTCAGGTGATGACCCTGGAATAACAAACAAAATAGACATTTCAATAAATCCTGACCCCATTATGGCAAAGCTTGACAGAATGAGAGTGCCAATGGGTAAATAGTTGTGGGTTTTTGATTCACGTAACACATTTCAATTTAGGAATGAGAAGTAAAAGGAATAATAACATTCATCAGAATTCCTGAATTTCATATTTCTGATGTTTTGGGTCCTTAGGGCTTACCTAACCGCTTCTTTTTAACAATGCAATAATTGTATCACATACATAGTAAACACATTAAGACAGAATGATATGAATAAGAAGGGCATTTTTATGAAACAAGTTTGGAATTTCTATGCTACCAATGTTACAATTTTTTTTATTTTTAATAATCATTTATTTCATATATATACTATACATACAATAATACAATAATAACGTTTGACTAGGTTACAAGTAACATTATTGTCAAACTGTTACAATTAATGGTGATAACATTTGGAGAACCTCTTAAATGCTATAATTAACAACATATTATGAACATTTCTTCAACCCCTTGCCCCTACTTGTGCAGTAAAATATGTCTGAGGTAAAACCTACTGGGACTTTAAATGTGATTACATTGGTGAAAGGTGTTCACATTTAGATGGTCTGACAAAATTGAGAAATTAAGAAAAAGAGTCTATATATTAAGGTGTTCGCTCAAGAGAGGTGTTCATAATTGCAGGTTTTATTGTACCGTATCTGGAGATAAAAGGTAACATTACACTTACCTTTGTATTGATAAAGGCTATAATTGGATCAAGCTCTGATATAAGGAAAGGCCCTATTTTCATGAATGGCACTATACCTGTAACGGAAGAAGTGCTTTATAATACTGAAAACAATTTTCAATCAGTTGAAAACAATTTTTAATCATATTTAATTGGTTCACTGTCATTACACACACGTTTTTGATAATAACTTTGACCCATGATTTGAACATTTGCCCTATATTATTTGTTATTTAGCACATGTAAACTATATAAGTGTCCAAATCATGGGTTAAAGTTAAAACTTGTATGGGATACTATGTTAAACATTCAACATTTTTAATGTAGCTTGTCTTTTTCAAATGATGTTAAGCTCAAGTGCATTAATTTGAGATTATCTGATAAGTACTGGTACAGAATTAGATCACTGACGAATGAGTCATTCTGCTCAACCAGAATATATTGTAGGAAAACATTAAAACATTTAAACATTTTCTCCAACAACTACATAACTATACAGCAGTGTGACAGTTTGTTTTTGTGAACTCACATTCCATAAGACATTTTTTCGAAATTTAGGCCTAGAAAATTTAAGTTAAGTGGAGTTGTACAACGTATGGAGAAATGCCTGCAGAGGGGGATATAATACCTGATGGCGACATGTTTTCTGCATTGTTACGCAGCTCTACAGTGTACTTCAGTCCACACATATTGAGGAACGTGCGAACACTAACACAAGACGCAGCATCAGGAAGCAAAATCTGTTTATCTACAAAGTTCAATTCAATAATGTTAATTGTACATTTGATTATGCATTATAGCCACTATTAACTTATACAGGGGAGCTACCCTATTGACAATTCAAAAATGCAAGCTACCCCTCTGAAAATCTTTTATTACCCTGTCTTTAAGATGAAATATTTGCTGGAATTACACCATGCATTTAAGAAGGTGCCTACCTAAGGTTTTAACCCCTTTTGAAAAATAGAATCACGATTGTGGTTTTACAAAAGCGCTTTTCCAAAACTCCTAGGACCCAAGTCACTAAAAACGCCTCAAATTGTTAGGCACTTATAATAATGGATGGGACCCAAAAATGCAATAGGTCATCAAATTATATCTCAAAAATTGAAAGTAAGTTCACATCACTGGCACAAGTCTCGGTTTTCTCTTCGATGCTAAAAGAATACATTTATTGTTGATGTACACATATGCTGGATATTCTCCACATCTACATCGTTAAAAGTGCACAAAAGGCATTTTAGAAATGACAGGTGTAATTTCAAAATAAAATCCCTAAGGCGCTTTAAAAATGTTGGTGTAATCAGGATGGCAATTTTGTAAAGCGCTTTCTACTAAAGTGCTTTTTGCGCTTTTTCTGGTGTGATTCTAGCAATTAAGACCAAATTAGATAGAATAAGAATTTAGCATGTAATGTCTAATTTTGCAAGACATGTACAAGTACATATTTACAGTTATTTATTTATTATTTTTTTTATACATTATCAATTTATTTCATCATAATCATGTTTTACAAGAATGGCTTGCCAATCGCTTATAAAGCATTATAGGCTAAGCTAGAAAATACATAAATTTAATTACAAATGTAAATGCATGTAATATGGAAGAATAGCAGCAATTTGGATAAGAAATGGGAAATAGGACAGGCTTGGGTCATGTGTCATAGTCTCAGTGAGGGGATAGTAGGCATAGTTAATACTTGCTTGGAGGGTCCCATAGAGAATTATGATTATGTTAAGAGTTCTCCAGTAAAAAATTGGCAACAAGAGCAAAAAGTTCATTATTTTGTGCCAGCGATAAATCGTCACTGCCATGTTTCAGAAAATCTTTAAATTGGCTTTTGTTCCTTATAGCTAAAGGCTTGTAAGTCTCTACAAGTGCAAGAAAAGTGTTCCTATTTTGTGCTTTATTTGGACAATAAAAGAATAAATGTTTTGGAGTTTCAGGCACACCACAAGCGCAGTTTGGTGTTTCAATATAAGTAAAATTATGGCCATATAGCTGAGCTTTAGTGAGCAAGTCAACTCTGAATCTATTGAGAATTATTTCTTGATTTCTTTTTAACTTTAATTTAGTAGTTGGTAAAAAGGAGGGCTTAGGGATTTTAATTTTTTGTAAGTTATTGAAGCTGGTAATTGTTTTGCTTTCTCGAATATACTTCGGTAGCTTGTTCCAGTGGGAGATAGCATTGAGGACAGAAGAGTTTCTAAATTTGGTTGAGCTTTTGGCAGGTATTTTGAAATCAGGATTTGATCGGAGTTCTCTGGGATTTTGAATCCTCAGAGGTTCAAAGATGTCTTTCACATAGCTTGGAGTGAGATTATTTTTAACTCTAAACATGAATTTATTTATTTGCATTGACCGCCTTGTTTCTAGATCAGGCCATGTGAGTGTATTCTTTACCTTAATTGAACTACTACCATGTAAACATCCACTGCATATAAGAGCAGCTTGATAGAATAATTTATTTAATATGTTAAGGACACTTTGAGTAGAGGAATCGTAGAGTATTGCGCCATATTCAAAGTGTGGTCGAATGAAAGACATGAAAATTGTTTCGAGGACATTGGAATTTAGTTTCTTTTGCAGTGATCTGAGAGGATTCAGGAGTTTGTTTACTTTGTTTCTTATGGCAATTATATGTTGTTTGTTAGACATGTGCTCGTCAAAGGTATAGCCTAAATGTTTATGCGATGTTTCCCTTTTTATTAAAGCATTATTCATAAAGGAATTGTTCACTTGGCCAAGTTTAATTCTGGAGTTATGAAAAATTATTTCGACACTTTTTTCAGGTTTAAAGTTGAGATTCCATTATTTACAGTTATTGTATCTACATGTATATTACATGGTCATGGTGTAATTTATAGCTTGCTGGTTGAATAACACTATTAAATAACATTATAAAATATAAATATGCATGAAGAAAATGTATGATTTCAAATCAAACACAATATATTTTAATGATTTCTATTCAAATTACTAACATTGAAAATGACCTTCATTTTCCAAATATTTCATTTCTCAATATTTTGATGATTATGACATGTTTTGGTAGGTATGACATCTTAACTTACTTTCATATGGCTGGAAAAGGCAGACATTATCTGGCCATGGCTCACTTGCTAAAAATACAAAAATGAATAATTAATGTTAAAGGAAGTCCAGTAGAGGGGGTTACCATATTTTCTTTTACTTCAATGTTGTTGAACAAAATCAATGCTTACTGGAAAGTCAAGAAAAAGTCAGGCTATGCTAAATTTAAAAATAAACAATAAGTTGTTTGGAAATATTTTCAGCATTAAAAGGAGAACTTATCTTGCACTTCACTAGTGCTGAACCTAATATACTCAGTACTAGACTTTGTTAGGTGGGCTAAATATCCATTTATACTGGGGTATATATAAGTAAGTAACATGTATGTTAATCTGTGATAATACCTTGGTTATATACACATGTACTTTGATCTCTCAAAATACCTTGGATATGCTTATTTTTATGCTATAAAGAGAATCTCATCCCTATCTTAACAGAGATAAGTATTGACATGAAATTTGTAATTCTCAAACCTCACAACAATACACTTTATCTGGAACCATATATATTGTTCCACGTTAAAATAAGACTTTACAAGTTCATTCTCTGAATTAAAGTATTTTATAAAAGTTATTAAAGTATAAGTCACAAAAGAAATGTTAAAATATCTTAATACTTTTCTTGTTTTTTATACATTTTATCAAAACATTCTTCTCTACATTCTTTTCTGGGTACATTAGTGCACTCCTTGTGTAAAAGTGAGAGATGTAGACATTGTGGGGAAGGAGTGATTCAAATTTGAAAAATAACATGTGACCCTATTGAGGGTTGCAGCGAAAATTCCAAACACGCACCATGACCTTATGATTTACGAATAGACAGACCCCGACCAGTTGCCACTCTCCATAGTTGGGTTCACACGGTTGGTGGTCAGTGGTCAAAAACAATGAATATGATCAACATGTATTTAATTTCGAATTATATAAATAATTTAAGGTTACACATGATCATTATTTTACCCATTTCCCTCTTATCCTGTTTTGAGATTTTCATTTTCTTTTACCCACCAACTCATTTTTGTAGCCGTCAACTCAGTTTTTCATTCTCATCTCATTTACCAATCAAATACTTAAATAAAATCTAAATGTTTGTTACATTTACCAACCATAGTGTCTGTAATTTCCGGTGGTGACGGTGGCCCAGAAATGAGCTGACTGCCCAATAGTATCACAAAGAGGAGGGAAAACTACAGAGCACAGAGATGACCTCATTACTTCTCTTGCTCACCATATTTGTCTACTATAAACGAGGGCGAACGTAATACCCGGAACGTGCCTCGTTTATTCTGACAGTGTGTGTTACCCCCCATTGGACATGAGGCCCAGAGCTGAATATCTATTAAACTGACGATAATCAATTAATCATGAAATACATTATCGTGACGCTGTTGGCTTCATTCCCGATCCAGGAATCCGAGATCCAATGACTCTATATGAAACAAGAAGCAAGTTCTCATTGTGGGAGATATTTATGTTAATGACCATGTTTTCAACTATTGCAAATTAGTCTACGGTATTATGTTTGGTAAAGAGTGTCTGGGAGTGTCAGGGACTGCCAACAGATTGCAATTTTTCAATCCAAAAACTGAATTATAATTTTTGGTGGTGTCAGTTAAAGCTTCAATAAAGACCATAAAAGAAATTTGGGAGTCATTTTACCTTTCCTGGGCTATTAGTGCAACGTTTGGCCTAATGTCTTCTTCGCCATACCTATTTTCTTAAAATATATGCACTTGTCAACGAATACCATCAATCAAGACTTGCAAATAGACTTCTAAATAAGCAATTGAAAGGATGGACATCATGCATTTGTTTTTTGAAACATTTCTGAATCTCCGCCATTTAAGATTCTTACTGCAGCTGAGATTAGATAAGACCGCATGTTTATAGTATAACCATGGTTGTCTGATATAACCGTATGCATGGTACACGATATGACTGCCGTCGACAGTCTATTACCAGCGACTCTTGCTGTTAGCCTGGCCCACTGATGAAGAAAAATCAAAAAAAATTGAAGACTAAAAAACGTCAAATCTACCCATATTCAAGGTCTTATTGACACGCGCATCATGGTACATAGCAAACAGAATGTTGGATAGAACATTAGGTGAAAACGGGTCTGGAATCCAATGACAATATCACTGGGAAATCATTAAAAGGTATGTGAGCATTTTTCTGTCGATGTAAAATGGTTTCAGGAGAAGATTACTGGGGATTTAGGATGATTAGTGATTGTGAATATCAGCAGAAATTATGTACGTTCGGGGGTTTTCTTTGTAGCAAATGAAAATAGATGTTAGTATTGATGAAATATCCAAACTTTGATATATTTTGACAGCAGTTTCATGATCGTTGAATATGTCTCTACACTATTTACTCAACTTTAATTGTTGACATAATCACAACCTAATGTTTTTACAAAATCAAAAAGCAATGCACGCTATAAATGTAACTTTTTTTCATTCATTCTTCTCACCATGTACCCTTTGCATTCGTTCGACTTCACTTCTAAAAGAGAGCTCCGTCTTCACTCTTTCAGTAATAATAAATCTCTGATCTCACAGAGCAATCAGAGTTCGTCATCGAGATACGGACGACTTTCTACATGGTCATTTCCTATGACATCACGGCAAAGTTAATGAGCATGTATATAGCACACGTTCCTTCCACTTCGCTGATTTGTTGAGAAAGGGTCAGCATGGTAGATTTGAAATGATTTATTACCTGCCCTTAAGAAAAAAGCCATGGTAACCATGGTATTCCATGGTGCGTCCATGGTAATCCATGGTTTTCCATGGAAATTCATGGTTTTTCATGGTATTTTCCATGGAAATTCATGGATACCCATGGTAATCTTCCATGGATATTTACCATGATTTTCCGTGGTAATTGGTGGTTTGGTAATTGTTTTTTCATGAACATGCCATGTTTTTACCATGACACTTGAGTTGTAAAATCAACAATTTTGGCAGGTTTTGTTTTTACCAAAATCTTCAAAATTGAATCAATATTTTAACGAATGAATCCAAGCTGGATTGAGAATTAATCTCATTAATCATAGATAAAAGAATATGACACCCCCCACCCTTAAATCTTTGAGAAAGTCAACCTTCTTGACAAAAGCTGGCTTCAGGCTTGAAATACAACCATGTTTTTACAATCTGAATATATGTTTAGTACATTCTGTACATAGTGTCATATGACAAAGAACTGTTTACTTAATATTTTTTTAATTGATGATTTGACCCCACAATTAAAAGTAATAATTTGTTTGCTGGGATTTGCTATCATTTAACTTTGGCACTTATGTAAAAAAGACAAAATAAGTGATAAAATCAGCTCACTGGATTCCCTTATTGCAGACTGAATAAACATTTTTACTTGGAGTAAATCCTATTTGGTTTTATTTGATCAACAATGAGTTTTTGACTTGCACTGTCTACACTCACAGACAATAATAATTACTGAAGAGGGAGCATTAGAAAGAGTAAGATTATCATATATAATAACAATTAAGATCAGAATATTTAAGAATTGTGCAAATGAACTCTTATAATCTGTTGTAAAGAGATTAATCTTTTGACATTAATTTGAGAGTTAAGACACCTAATTAACATAGAATAATGGCAACCAAATATTTAAAAATTATGCAAATGATTATTTATTCCTATTCAAAGACAAATCAATTTTAATTACTTATACTATGTTTCATGTTTTAAGCCAAATGATGTTGTTAACCCCCTCCCCTTCCTTCATGCAACTTCTTTTTAAATATAATATTCTTACATAGACAAATTGATTTTTTATCACTTAGGTATAACATTTCAGTTTGCAGCCATAGGCTTGTGTTTAATCCCCCATCTCAATTTCAAGTCAAAATTCTGTAAAAGTATATACTTTTCTGTGGATTTTTTCAGATAATATGCTTATAAAGGTTGAATGGGACTTAATTTGGAGAAGTTCATTTAGAAACATAATGTATTATTCATTTTTCTGCTTCCAAAAGACCAAACAAATAGCCCATGGAAAACCATGGACTTTCAAAAGATCAAAAGAATAATCATGGAAAACCATGGCTTTTGATTGCACTTTCCAAAACATCAAAGAAATAACCATGGAAAAGCATGGCTTTCGATTGCAATCAACCGTCTTCCATGGCTTTTGATTGAAGTTTTCTCAACTTCAAAGAAAGAAACCATGGTTTGTGATTGTATTCTCAAATGTACGAAATGTAATTTAAGAAAATGAGTTATTTATTTCTTAAATTACTTCATATTGATTTTTAAAACTGAAAATTAAAGAAAGTATTGAAATAAAACAGAGCTTGGGCTAGTTTGACTTAATCTTTTTCAAAGGAAAGAAGTGTTTGGCCTAAAAAATAAGCAATCTCTATCTAGTCTTGATCTACACAAAAGACCTTTGCACAATTGTTTTTGAAATCTTGTGACCTACTCTCTGCTTTGCTGTTTCACATATTTTCTCATTTGTAAGCTGAGTCTAACATTCGATGAATGTTCTTGCTATACCTTCAAAATGAAATGTCCACCCTTTTTTCTCAATGATAAGTCTCAGTCAAAACATTCATTTTGGAGATTTTGGTAAATACAAATCCTACCAAAATTGTTGATTTTACATCTCCGTGACACATCCATTAAAAACCAATTACCAAACCAACAATTACCACGGAAAATCATGGTAAATATCCATGGAAGATTACCATGGGCATCCATGAATTTCCATGGAAAATAACATGGAAAACCATGAATTTCCATGGAAAACCATGGATTACCATGGGCGCACCATGGAATACCATGGTTACCATGGCTTTTTTCTTAAGGGTGGGCTATCACAAGCATCAATCTTTAGGGCGGGACTGCTAAACTGTAATATAGTCTATACTAGGAAGAGGGTAGTTTATAACTAGTCTAGCTACTCAACATGTAATCCAACAAGATGAAGTCTTCGAATTGGACTTGTAGTTGTACATGACCTGAATGAATGAAAGGATTCGATGGGCTGAGACTTAAAATTATAATTCGAACTTTGTCAATTTAACATGTGCCTCTATGGAGAAACAGTAGGTTACATTATTTGTATCAGTGTTTCACCCATTTTTATTTTATGTGGGCGATAATATGTGAAAGTCAAAAGTTCAATTTTGATAATTCATTAAAGCTGTAATAAGTAAGCAAATTCACAATAACATACCTCCTAGTTCAACTGCTATAGGTTGCTCTATTAAACTAGCCATTATTGCATTATTTTAAGTCCAGAATCCCTGTAGAAATCACCTATGAAGTGTCTTGCGAAAAAAAACTAACTTTTAGAATGCATGACGCGACCCAAAACAGTTTGTCGAACTGTTGAGACAAAAATGATGGGACTGCAAAGTAACTAATGAAATCAAGCAAAAACAATATTGGTATACCTTTGCAATCATATAATTGCTTTTTTGAAAAATACGTGCGAAAATGCAGAAATGTTTACCAATAATTTATTTTGGGTGTGTCATGGACAAAATGGCCATGTGATGAAAACAATCTAAAAATGTAAATGACATCGAAACATCTCCAGAAACATGGACTTCGCAAGCTTCCTGAGGCAATTGCTAATTGTTTGCGAATCCTGTACAAATGGCGGAGACGAAGACACTACAAAGTATTTTTGTAGGGAGTTTGAAAGGGTAAATATAACCTTTTAAAAGTTCACAAAGATTCCTAATTTTTTCCACTTGGATTTTTAAATGTCCATTTCAAATATTTAACTTCTGTGTTGTAGATTGCATAGGCCAAGGGTAAAGTAATAGTAAGCCATATATAGAAGAGACAGGTGAACAACTCTGACTTGGACTACTTGTTAAGATGGAGATTTCAACAATATTTAGTGTATTATTTTCAAAAAGCCATGGGGAGTTGATAGAAAATTGATAGTTTGTAGCTCTTACCTAAGATTGAAACTCAGTCAGATGATATAGAGTGAATAATGCTGTCTAAAAGAGAGAATTTCTGAAAACCTGCAATTGCCTGGCAAGTTCATTAGTAAACAAGTGATCTGATTGGTCACTGCTGACCTCCCTGACCTCCAACAGTGACAATCAGTTTCAGCTTGCCAGGCAATTGCAGATATCCATAGTTGTTGTTTTATATGCAGTATTATATGCAGTTTTTAGATAAAGATTTGAAAAAAACAATGATATAAGTTTGAAAAACACTTTGAAGAAGATTTTGGAGAGATTTGGGAATACAATTTGATACCAGTAAGGAGAACTAGTGCCAAGACTAAAAAAATTTGAAAAATTTTCAATCTTACTTGTGGACCTGTCTCTTCTATATTCAGCTTACTATTACTTTTCCCTTGGCCTATGGTAGATTGTGTGTCATGAATCATTTCAATCATTTGGCAACCCAAAGATTTATTCTGAGTAAATTGTTCATTGCTTGTTGCACAGGGAAGGGGTCTAACCTGTAATATAGCACCAACTGAAAATTCAAATAAAAAATTCCTTGTCATCTCAAAACAACCATGAAGTACATCATTTGATAGATAATTGGTACAGCAATACAAAAATATACATGCCGATGCGACCAAAGTCATACCAGTCGAGAGTTTTAGAAGGATATTTTTCTGAAAAATCCGTAAATAACATAAAATTTCGTTATTTTGACGTTTTATGATGTTTACTTACCTATTTTACTTGTTGATCGATAGTTGCTTTATAATATCCTGTGCTGTTATAGTTCTATATGTGTGACCTTCTGTGTTGCGTTTAGTAATATACTTAGAAATGAAATTTTCTAAAAAAATTTCAATATCCAGCCCCCGACATGTTGGAAATAGGCACGACTGCACTGGACGAAATTTTTTGTAAGGCATGGCAGTGTCTTGGTATAAACACTGTGGCAAGCAGAATGAATCATCAAAAATTGTTGAATGTAGTCCCCCTTTCAACATTGATGGATTCAGTTTCAAATTTTAAAATATTATCAGAATTCATGATGAAATTTCGCGAAAAGAAATTTGAGTCAAAGTTTTGTTGATATTAGTTCACTGTACTTGGGGTTATCGATTAATATGCGCAGTGCAACCAATCACTTTCTCTTGATTTCGCAATCACGTTGTACGAGCAGAGGCTAATTATTTGTCCACACTTGACCACATATGGGAGTATACATCCGGGTCACTACAATGGCGAAATGAATATTTGTGATGTAATGATGGTTTTGTTGAGATGAATATTTCTGAAACATAAGTAAAGTTCGTAAGGAGACATATGAATTTCAACAACAATAGGAAGTTGTCAATATAAGTGAATGATCTGGAAAATCGGGTAAGTCACAGCGGAGAAAATAACGCCATAAAAGGAAAATGAAATCAGTAGAAATTTATCAAAATATGGGTTGATTATGTTTTTCGAAAAAACTTGTTAGTTTCACTTACAAAATATCACTATTAAGGTGCCTGAATGCAATTTTCTTCATTTTATTGCATTTATGTGCTTATAACCTATCCAGTGAGGTGCTGCAGTATGAATATTTTTTACATTTTCCTGCATTTTTAGGCCTTGATCAAAATGTGGTAACTTTACGTGGATAACTTCCTTTTTACTTTTATATGCTTATTGAGTCAAGGCTTGCTCTATTGACTTATTTTTCCTTCTAGACGAATTCTTAAATTGTGGCTTGTTGATGAACTAGGATATACATATACATGTATATTATTGTTAGTACAATGTTGATACAAAACAATTGATAAGTCGTATAGTTGGCATATTTTCTTGAATTTAACATTTAATGTCCCAAGCTCCCCCAAACTGCAGAAAAACATACACCGTAAATCATATTTACCAAAATGAGTGTCTCCAAGGCTTCATACCAGCGTATACATAATGCATTTTTCACGAGTTAGACCTGAAATTTCGCTAAAAAGGAGTACTGGGGTAATCTCTGCCAGGTTTGTATATTGTGGTTAGCTTTTAATGGTAAGTGCTCAGAAGCAAATAATTCAAGTGCGCAAAATAATCAAATAATCTGATTGGTTTTAGCTTAAGTATGCATGCACACAATGTGTGCCATGTTTTTTTCTAGTGATTTAGTTTTGTTCCATGGAGTTTGTCTTTAGATTTAAGAGAACTTTTTACCTATAATAGCAAAACTTTTGTTTTATTTATGCATTCTATCTATCAGATAAGAGTTTCAGGTATATAGGCAAATCCATTTTGGAAGGAGCACTCTGTTTAGTTTGAAAACCCACCCTTTATTCATTCTGATACTGATAGCATCTTTCTGTTTCACCTGAAACATGCTCTGATATTATGAGGCATATTCTGTGATCTGAGTACATCAGATGGGAAGAGTTATAACTGTCAATAAGTGTGTTAGTTATCATGTTATCATTTAACTTGATGTCAATACATTACATAATAGGCATTGTATTTAACAGCAGATACTAGCACAGCATGTTCACAAGTTTAATGACCCCAGTTAGATGAAATATGAGCTGGGATGAAAGATCTCAAAATCCTAAATTTTGGGCTCTCTTGGATCGCCAAATCAAGCTCATTATATCATGGCATCTCAGGGCTGAGAAGAAATGAGATGTCATGGTTTATCATGATGCCCTTTATTATTTACTGTCAGCACTATAGTGTGCGATTGATACATTGCCAGGGTGGTAAAATATTGAAAATACTGCTATACCTGCACTGTTATTTTCTGGTACAAAATAAAGTATGAAGTCATGAATGAATTTCCTTGGTTTTTTTAAGAACGCATCATTATATCATCTTCTTTTAGTAAACCTTGTAAGAGGTCAATGGTAACTCAGGAAATGCTGATCTTTCAGGGGCGTAGCCAAGATTAGTAGTGCTAGTATGTGAGGCTGTAGGCCAAGCAATTACTAATGGAGTCAGTACAGGGGACATACTCCTCTGGAAAAATTAGGATTTTGGGCTTATTAGGTGCATTCTGAGCCTTCACTGATATAATACCTCACTTATATATATGGAACTGGTTTAAAGTTACAAACTTAACTTTAAACCAGTTACGTTTTGCTTCTAGTTTGAAGAGTGCAGTAGCAAAGTAAAACAAGACAATGTAATGATGCTTTCCTGAAAAATGCAAGCAAATTTACATGTGCCTTCATACTGAAAATAACATGTGCAGGTATAGCAATATTTGTACAGAACTCTGTTATGTCACAATGTAATACATGTACTTCTCTTACACTCTCCTCTTGCATACATTATTGGCTGATATTAAAACAGAGATATTATACAAATAGTGACTGCCATTGAGGGCAATAGTGTAAATTATTTCCCCGAGGGGAAATCATTTACACTATTGCTCGAAATTAGGCAGTCACTATTTGTTATATTATATACCCTATACTGACTCTTGTCCCGTTTCCTCTGCGAAGGACAAAAAGGCTTAGAAAGCCCCCTCCCCGGGTCCATTGTTAGCATTATAAGCTGTGACGTCATCAGATGCTCAACAGAAATTTTTGCCTCAGAGACTCTCACTTGACAAATTCAATCGCGTTTAACACGCGGAATAGATTATCATAATACTTGAAATTACACAGACGTATTGAGCTTAGGGAACTTTATACACGTTGCTTATATTGTATCGTTCACGCACATCTGTCATGGTGAACAGAGTTGATTTGTGTTTGTGCTCATCCTTCATTTTTCTGTTTTTCGTCTGCGCAGTGATGATGCACAGACGTTTCCAAGGGTAACAGAAGTTGCAATCGTGACGTCAGCGGGCAATAGTTCAAATGTATATTCCCGCTGACGTCACATTTGAGGGAATATAACTTTCCGAGGGAAATAGTAAATCTATTTCGGAACACGTGACTAGGTATTGACCAATCAGGATTAGTGTTACATATTGGGTATATAATAAACCAGAATATTAACTGATTTATTTAAGCATTTGAGTGACCCTTTGGGAGTTTCAAAGGCAGAAAACTGAATATCAGAATATCATACCTCAATGTTAACTTTTTTGAAAAATTAATAAACCACAAAGTTTCATAAATTTTCTTTAAAAAGTGATAGATCAAAAATTCATATTTGTTCAAAAATTAACTTTTACTATATATAAACTGAATCTGTGCATGATCTGACTCTTCACTCAATGTTTAAGTTTTGCTACTCTATCTTGCTTTAATTTTGTAAAGTTATTAGTTATCCTTTGTAAATTTATTTAGGGTTGTTAAAGTCAATGAAAACCAAAATTATTTTCTCTGACCTGGAAAAAGTTGAAGATTTTTAGAACTTAATAAAGTTAATTGTCAGGGAATTACAAAGGTGAGGACTTTTGAATGAAATTTTGAAAAATTGAAAAATACTACGAACTGATTAGATTGATAATGTTGTGCTAACCTGCCATGTTATTATGTTTCCAAGTTTAAATTTTCTTAGATGCTTTTTAGTACAAAATTCTAGACCTCAGAATGTTTCCAACTTCAAAGAACGAGTGTCTTTTAGACCCTATATTAGCTCCCAAGATATTTAAAAGAAATTGTACAGGATATCAAAGAAGGGACTTTGTTTGATAACCAGATCCAAATATTAGGTCATTCTGACCTTTATGTTCTAAAATATAGGTCATTCTATTAACATGTGTAATATGATCTTTTGAAGCAAATACAACCCTTTCACATCATTAGTGTCACTGTTTCTATTTATTATCAAAATAATCTTTATTTACAGTCGTTTTAGACTTTTTTAATTGATCTTCTTGGTGAACAGTGACAAAGCATAATGGGAAACATTCAAAAACACATAAAATATAACATATAAAAATGCAAAAAAATGTTGAGTAGTGATCTTCTTTATACTTCAATAAGATGTGTCAGAAATGTGTCAGAAAAGAATATTGAGTTTATTAATTTACATCACAATGAGAAAGAACAAGGGGCAACATTAAAAACACCTGAAGTAATTAACAATTCAAAAATACATATCAATCAATTATACATTGATCTGCTTTCTTGAGATCAATTGCTCATGTACAGTTTGCATTAAAGTGGCAGTAAAATACTGAATTTATTATTTCACATCACAGTGATGAAGCACAAAGGGCAACATTTGAAAACACATAAAACATAACAATTTCTAAAAGGTTACTCTGGACGTTACATGTTGTAACTGTTGTACTTCAATCTTTAAAAGTGTAGATGATTCATGTATTTGTTCATAATAAGAGACTCTATGAGCCATCATCATCTTCTTCAGATGACAACATTTCAGGCATATTTTTTGTTAAAATGTCAAACTTTGTGCATTTCCTTTTGCTTTTATACCATGTGCACATGAATCTACAGCCCTACTCCCAACTGGGAATGTACAACACCATCCACTGATTGCAGCATTACTATTACATTACTCCACCCATGTACAGTGAGATTTGGAGGAGACAAACCATTTTTACACAAATGAGGCCACATGTTTCTTTCTTAATAATGATGGTATATTTCCCATCTACTTGAAGGTGGTTGTCTGTGTATCGTTTAGATTGGTTGGCTTGATATACACCAAAGTGACTTGACGTACATCGTCTCCAGTCAAAATGTCCTCAAGAGAGTCCACTACGATTTAGATGTGACCCTCTGTCTCCATATAGGGGGCACTGAGTGATTGCAGTTCACTCATACAGTTCCCTTTGCTTTGGGCAATTTATTAGCAAATGTCATTTTCCCACCCACTGATATTTCTTCTGCACAATAAAGTTGAGCTGGTTTTTCTAAATATAAACATTGGTAGGATCAGCCAATGAACTGTGATAATACAAAAATATTATTCATTGACAGAAATGACACCTGTCACATGAAGATTAAATGATTGTACAACAATCATCTCAATTTGGCATGTACATTTATATGAATATATAGAAAGGAATTACGGTATTATGTTATTTATTTGACTGAAATATTTATCCAATGAGAATATAGACTCAGTGATACAATTAAACAATTGGACATCTGCCAAGTTTGGTTTAAACATTCTGGAGATATTTTCTGAAACTGATGAAAAATGCCTATTTTCACAGGAAGTGATACATACCTCCAAAATCGACCAAAATATACATATATCAGGAATATTGAATGTTTTTTATTGCTGTTTCTTAAAAACATACATATTTATCAACAATTTGATCCTAGATATCAAGGATATTAACGACAATGCATTTTTCAAAAAATGTAAAGTGACCCCAGGGGTGTGTATAGCCATTAGTTCTTTTCTTAGATGCTTTTTTACAAAAATCTAGACCTCAGCATTAGTTTTTGCGCTATTATTGTTTTGGGTGTGATATTGTTCACTCTTATGTTTTACATCAAATATTACAGTAGATGTAGTCAGTCAGTGCATCAATATTCCTTGTTGAAACCATCTAAGTTCATATTTGTATAATTTGTATGTTTTAGGTTGTATCAACCTTTCTTGCAAATGATGGTGGCAACTTCAGTATAAGACTCCAAACCCTGCAAGCAGTGTTGAATGCATACAAAGAGACCAGGCCATTTTTTGATTATGTATCAGCAGTAGACTCTCTCAGCACATACCTAGTCTTGTAAGTAAACTATCAAATTTAGAAAGACATACATTTTCTCCCGAGGAATGTAAATGAATGGTTTTATAGATGTTGTTAGATATTCAAAATTTAGTCAAAGTGATATCATTTTTGAAATCTACATGTAAAGTAGCATCTAGAAATGTGATTTCAAAAATTGTTCATCAACTTTAGAATTTAATTAATAAAATCGCAAAAAGTGAAATATCTTTTCTTACTAACATCTAGATTGTTCAATTACAAATTATAATCATCGAGAGTAGATTACCCTGAAAATTGTAGTAGTTCATGAATGGAGATTCCTCTTGATGTTCATAAAAATAATTAACCCAATATATGTTATGACGTTGCAGGGAATGTGCTGAGACAATGCTTGGTTTGCCATGGCACAACATGCCTGATGAAACTCCAGAGAAAGCAGAGTTGATACATATGATCCACAGCATGGAGGACCTCAGTATTGCCTTTAGAGATTTACACAAGTTTGCAATTCTGAAGGACCTGATTGATGGGCCATGGTCAAATCTGACTTTGGTCATGTTGATGACTGATGATAAGAGACTGGTGATAGACCAAGGTATGGCGGAATCAGTGATTTATGTTTTGTAATCTGAGCATAAATGTTATTTTACACTTTTCTGCAAAAATGTATGTTAACCTTTGTGTTGTTTATTTTTAACTTTAATGTGAAATATGCAGTTTTAGTACAAGGTTTAACTAAATTATTTATATATATTTTTTTATTTTATTATAAACGACTACACTGCATTTTTTGGTGATTTAACATCTCTCTAGATTCAGTTGAAAATTATGCTGTGCAAAATACCTTCATACATGTAGTTGGGAGACCAAGTGAACTCAGATTAATTGAAACAAATTCATCTAATTTTAAAGTTTATTGAATTATTGCTGAGATAATACATGAAATGCAACTTTAAGCAAGTGATTCCACTTGGAAACTATTCCTTAGCTATATTAGAAGTTCTCATATTACCAGGTACGGATTACATCAAGGAGCACAATCCTGATGTGATGAAACTTCGCTTGAAGATCCTTGTAAGAGAACACTGTTCCAAATATGCCATCAACCTGAGTGGCTGGTGCCTCAGGAACCAAATCTATGCACAAGACTACACTATACGAGAGATGCAACTGAAGCTACTCTATGAAGAGGACATTGAATTATTTCACTGTGAGGTAAATGGCTGCCTATGATGTAGAAATAAAAGTTTACATACAGTAAAACCTGTTTATATTGAACCTTTTTTGCTGAGAAAAAATTTATACAGAAGTCAGTATAGTGTGTGTGGAGGAAGGGTGTCCACTGGAGACATGTGTGTTCACAATATATATTTTTGTGTTTCACATTCTTGTAATTTCTTGATTAATGAAAAAATAATCTTGACATTAAATTTTGATGTTATTTGAATAAAATGCTTTTTATTCTGAATGCAGAGCTGGAATGTCAGCTGCCACATGGGCTTGAAGATTGTGCACAGTTTAATGAAGGATAAAGAAGATCCTGCAATGTGTCTGCACTTTGCACAGACATTCCTTGTCCAGGACTGGTTGCGACCAAAACTATACTGCTGTACAAAGGTATGCAGATGAAACAATAGTTTATGACTCATGCATAAAGCCTTTTTAACCTCTGGGTTCACTGTTCTACCACTACTCATGGTTATCGCTACCTTGTAACTTAAACTGATCCATTGTAATATTGCTATGTTGATATCCACCACAGTAATTCTTGCTTGGGTCATCATTCGCAACAGTTAGACCATATTACTTATTTCTGCAGCTATTTTATTCCATTATTAAGACCATTACATATTTCAGGAGCTACTCCATGCATGGGTTCCACTTCAATACAAGCTGTCTGAGAATGAAGCAAAGTTTATGCAGGACATTTCAAAAGTAGTCGAAAAGTCAGTTAACACCATGCAGATCATGTATCTAGTTGATGTCATGTGCAAAGAGGTACCACCTTTTATCAATATTTCAAAAAATTACATTGAAAGTACATGTGATAAACAATGTACAGGACAATATAAAAGTGCAATGATAACACTCCTTTCACCTTTATGTTTCCTTGGAATGCACATTGATACATTGACACACAGATTTTATTTGCAAAATCTTGATTTTGATTAAAGCTCACTGAACTGACATGTTTTATGAAAAACCAATCTTAATTTAGTAATTTTATGGTTTAAACAGTTTCAGTTCTTGTATGATAACAGAAAACAAGAATTCCAAAAATTAGTGAAAATCTACATTAAAACTTGATATGTTGTTATAGGAATTAATGCAAAACTTACTTTAATATCTAATCTTGAATGTGTCATATTTGTTTTCTTTTCAGTTTGGTGACAAATTCCTTCAGTTCAATACAGAGTTGTGTCTCCTGGCACTGAAAATAGAGACTGGTCATGTTGAGAGGGCATATGCCACTAATGACTGTCATGGTCTAGATAATGCCGCAAATGCTCTAACATTCACCTGTCACATCATGTCTTGTCTATACAGAGACAGCAACCTGAAGATGCGTCAAGTCTGCTCATTAACTGCCCTGTCTCTAGATCCCTCTGAGGATCTCTACTTCCTCGTTGAGGCTTTGTTTAATATCGTAGAAGACACTGATAATCTGGACCTGGCAAATAAACAGGTCGTCAATAACAGTATCAATGCATTCAAGCAGTTCCTTAGCAAACATGAGGACAATGACCAACATGGAGATGTAAAGGAACAAAAGAATGCTGACAATAGTGACAAATCAAGTGATGTTTCAATTCACCAATCAGAGGAATCTGCCGATCATAAGGCAGATAATACTCCGAATGACAAATCAGATGACTTACATCGAGGTAAATCACCCAAAGACAACGAACATAGAAAAGAAAAGCATGCTCAAGCTATTCCAAATAGAACTGATATGAATAATAATAAAGGGAAGAAGAAAGGAAAAGGTGAAGAGGAGAATAACTCAAAAAAGGAGTTTTCTCGTAGTTTTGAATCAGTATTCAAGAAATTTGCAGGTGTAACAGATACAAAAGTTCCCGAAGAAAAGAAAACTGACCCTGAACCCAAATCATCAGTTCAACCTGAATCCTCTGTACCTAAAAATGGGCAAGTAGGTGGAGGATTCATGAAAAACTTCCATGAGTTCATTCGCCAAAACACTGCAAGAAAGCAGTCATGCTGGCTGAGCAAAACTAAAGAAAGTGATTTGTCTAAGTCATACTTAAAGACACCATCAAGCATGGGGGCAACTCCACCTGAATCTGATGAGGATATACAAGGGGAATACCATATTGTAGTGAAGGGTATTAATCCAGAGACCATAAGTGAAATACTTCGTATTTTAGCAAGCATTCGAGCAAAAACTCTAGATCCAAGTCTACCATGGGAAAAGCTCAAGCATCGTATTCTACGACATCTTTGGGTGAATGGATACCACTTTGATGTGCACAAGAATGATTTTTTCTCTGGTACATCTGCAGTAGTTCAGGTTAAACCTATAAGTCAGAGTGTACTTGACAGCATTACTGAGACTGAATTGCAGAGTGAATCAAACAGCCCTGTAAAGAGCAGTAGTCCAATTAGGGTCAGTAGTCCAGAAAAGGGAAACTATTCTTCAAGGAACAATAGTCCTATAAAGCTAAACAGTCCTATGAAAGGCAACAGTCCCATAAAGTTCAATAAATTACAGAATCATTCAGTTCAACAATCCAAAGAAAGTTCTAGTCCAGGTCGTAGACCAAAATTCAAGGGTATTAAACAAAAGACTTCACAGAGTGAAATTGAAAGTATTACTGAAAAATCTCAACATCAAGACAATGTAGACAAAAGGCCATCGATTATCCATGACAGTCCGGTGCGGAATTGTTTTGATGCCCTCAAAAACATAGATTTTACATCAGCATATGAGCATCACTTAACAGAAAGCCATCCTAATGCAAACATCCTAAATGACAAAGACTCTTCCAGAGACGGACAACCCCCATCGCCTTCCCAAAGTCCACCCCTCTTATCACCCTTTGACAATTCCACAGAAGGGGACCATAGTTATAGTATAAGACAAAAATCCAATGGTTCTACTGAATCTCAGTCCTTCAAGAACACAATGAACGATAGTGTAAAAAGGATTAAAATTTCACCTAGGAGACAAACATGTCCCGTTTTCTGTAATGACGATGATGAAGTGGCTCTGTCTAAGATACAAACTGCGATAAGAATCAACAAGATGGAAGCGAAACTCATCACCAAGCATGCCATCGAGAACAAGGTGAGACTTCTTTTACTTTCTGAAACTTCTAATCCTCTCTCTGTAGCTAGAAATTTCAGGGATGGTGATAGAGATCGGCTTGTTGCTGATGTTGCTGCCGTAGTAGCTGGAATGAATAGTATGTCCATAAAGACCAAGATGTATGGTCTAGATGTTCCACAAAGCAATGAGAAATTAATGTCTACATTTAAGCTGTCATTGAGTGAGATCATAGAAAGGTTACCATACCATGTAAGTCAATCCCATCGTCAGCATGAATTTGAGAACCCCAAAAAGAGGGACAGTTCCCCAATGCATGTTTCTGGAATTGATAATATTGAAAGACCCCCTCCTCTCCCTATGTCATACACTTCATACTCCAATTTCATTCCCTTGCTTGATGAAATGTTGACTAGTCTAGAGAACGATATGGCTTTAGAGAAGAAGAAATTAATGGAAAGACTTGGGAAAGCGTTTCAAGATATGTGTGATAAGTCTGTTGCAAGGGAGAACGTTACTTCGAGTGTGGAAATCGAACAGAGTGAACCTCCATCTGATGAGATTACAGACTTTACTGATCTTGGTGGCAGCAAGAATCAAACACTTACAAAAAATTTAAATCGTTCAAATATTGATGAACTATGTAATCAATATCACCATGATTGTGATCCAGATACTATTGGAGAGCCTGTAAAGATGGATGCTGCTACTCCAGTCGAAGAAAAAGAAAGCAGAAACCTCATAAAGGGAAAAGTATATGTTGACACACAAATTAATGAGCCTCTAAAGATGGATGCTGTTACACCAGTCAAAGAAAAAGTAAGCAGAAAGCCCACGAAAATAAAAATAAATGCTGAATCGCAAAATAAGGAGCCTCTAAAGATGAATGATGTTACACCAGTCAAAGAAAAAGAAAGCAGAAAACCCATAAAAAGAAAAAGAAATGCTGAATTGCAAAATAAGAAGCCTCTAAAAATGAATGATGTTACACCACCAGTCAAAGAAAGAGAAAGCAGAAAACCCAAAAAAGGGAAAATATATGCTGATACACAAATTAATGAGCCTCTAAAGACGGACGCTGTTACACCAGTCAAAGAAAGGGAATGCAGAAAATCCACAAAGGGGAAAAGTTATGTTGATAATAATGAGCCTCTAAAGATGGGTGGTCTTACACCAGTAAAGGTGAAAGTAAGTAGAAAACCTACACAAGGGAAAACATCTTACAGAAGTCAGAGGTGGGCTAACCGAACTAGGTACCTACAAGACAATAGACAAAGTACAACTATTTCAACAGAAATGCTCAGTTATTTGAGGAAAGGTAGATGTATCTCCTCAAAAACTATTTCTTGTTATCATTGTCATGTATCCTTTAAAGCAGGACATTTGAAGCGACATTTATTCCAATATTGTAAGGGTATCTCAAATGATCAAAAATTGAAATACAAGCTCATGAAGACTGGACAAGTGATTGTGTCTGAAGAAATGCTAGAAATAGTGCAAGGTAATTCTTATTCAAAGGTACTGACTCAATGTCTCCATTGTGATTGTATGTTACAAGTACGTCGTATCAAGCAACATATCTACAAATACTGTAAAAATATCACAGATAACCTGAGAATGGAATATAAGAAATTGTGGACAAGATCTCTTGATAAGAAGGACAAGACTAAGAAAAGAGAATCGTCAGATAGAACTATAAAGAACAAAGTTGTAACTGATGCAAGGGATATCATATCTGTTGATGAAATTGATGAGGAAGGTAGCAAAGAAGCAGGTCAAATTTATGATGGGAAAACAGCTGCTGATCTTGACACCAGTGAAGAGATACATGTCAGTGAAAATAATGAACAGATCATAAGTGACCTACCTGATACCAATGCAATACATTGTACTGATGTTCAGGAGAAAGATGCTGATATGATTGACATTGAGTCAACTACAGAATTTTCTGTTACCTCTGTTGCCCCAAAAAGAATCAAAAGGAGTACCGTTACACAAACCTTGCCATTGAGCACTACTGTTCACTCAAATGAACATAGGTCCGAAAAATGTGAAAAAGTCTCTGATAAGGAGCACAATGTCTGTAAAAGGTATAATACACAGAAAAGAGGAAGACGATTTACACACAGAGTACCTACTAAAAGGGTAGCTGCTAAATATAGCCTAGGAAATATATTAGGAAACCCTGAAAAGACAGATGGAAATAAAAACATAGTTAAAAGTGTAGAAACATCGCTTACAACCGTTAGTGAAGAAACTAAAACCTCAGATGATGCTTACAACCAATTAGATGGCAGGCAAGAGATGGTAGGAAAACAGACACTCCAAATACCAGTTAAATTCCTTGAACCAGGAAACCTTGATAAGAAGGAAGATGAAAATTGCAACAGAATTGAAAGTGAAGAAACATCTTCTCTTTCAACATTAGCACAAGTATGTGAAGAAACCGAAACTAGACCTGGTGCTGACAATCAATCAGATAGTGAGAAAAAAATAGTGGGGGAAGAAATTTTTCAAACCTCGAGTAAAGCAATTGAAGTACAGCCTAATTTGAATCAAAGAAGTGGTAATACTGATGAAGAGAGAACACACACACTACTTGTAATTCCACCTGGCCAAAAAAGGGAAAAACTTACAGAAGATGATGTGAGCACATTTGATACTAAAGATGATGCACCTGTGCCAAAGGTGGACCGACATGAAGTACATCTGTTAAATGAAGATAAAATGGCTGTAATTGAGGGGACTGTTAACTCTGTCAATTCTGCTGAAGAAAACGTAAACAAAAGTAAACAGGACCTATCTGATGATGACAGCATGAAAATTGATGAAATTAAAGTTCATGGTGCCCAATCTACTAAAAATGAACCAAGCTCTCTTGATGATCAACAGCAGGATGATAGTGTCATATATGTGGACACAGTCAAGAGAAAGGCACAAGACCAAAACTTATTGAATGAAAGGATGCATACAAAGAGGCCAAGAAGGCTATTGGCTAAGGCTATTGATAGAAACAGAAATGCAAAAACAATAAACAGAAAAGGAACATCACTTAGTGCTGATTATCCATCCAAATGTGCATATGTACTCAGGCCAAGGGGTAAGGATGATAAAAAAGCCCAAATCAAAGATTTAAAGCATCAAGGATCTAAAAGTGTTCAACCCATCTCTAAACCCTTATCATCCTCGTCACCATCACAAAGCCTATCTGCAATACAACAAACATATGACCAAAGCACATCAAGGCTAGGGAGTTCTGCTGAGCATAATCAGCTTGTAACCAACCAGCAACAGATAAGTGCACAACATACTCACCAAATAAATGTACAACAGCAAATCGGACACCAAATGAATGCACAGCCAGGACTAGTTCAACTCCCTATTACGAACCCTGTAATAAACAATGTTGATATGAATCCTTACAAGTTGTATAGCAGAATTCAGCCGAACATGATGATACCCCAACCCTTGTATGGGGGAGCAACAAATGTTCAGCCATCTCTAATAAAGGTACCTAAGAATACCAAAGTTATAGTTCTGCCCTATGGTAGTAGGATCAGTCCAGCTCACACAACCTCACATGCTACCACATCTATGCCAGGTGTTGTCATGCATATTCCTATACTTGATGCAAATACATTTATTCAGCCGCCTCTCCAACAAAAACTTCCAGCTTCTTCAGCAACATCAATGAACATGAGTGAGAATGGATTTCAAAACCAAAATGATATTAAGTATCCTACTGTGCCTTGTACTGGTGATTGGTCAAATAGTTCAGCTGTTACTTCTTCTGTCTTAGGACAACCAACTGAGCTTGCTCAATCCCTTTCTATACCTTGGACTGGGAATGGACTGAATAGTTCAGCTGTTACATCTTCTGCCTTAGGACAACCAACTCAGCTAACACAATCCTTTTCTATACCTTGGGCTGGAGATGGACTGAATAGTATAGCTGTTACATCTTCTGCCTTGGGACAACCAACTCAGCTCACACAATCCCTTTCTATACCTTGGACTGGGAATAGACTGAATAGTTCAGCTGTTACATCTTCTGCCTTAGGACAACCAACTCAGCTCACACAATCCCTTTCTATACCTTGGACTGGGAATGGACTGAATAGTTCAGCTGTTACATCTTCTGCCTTGGGACAACCAACTCAGCTCACACAATCCCTTTCTATACCTTGGGCTGGAGATGGACTGAAGAGTTCATCTTCTCACTTAGAGCAACTAGTTCAACAGACACAGTCCCATCCTATATCTTGGACTGGGGCTGAACGGAATAACATGAACTTTAAAGAATCCTTCTCCTCAGGAATGCCGATGCATCAAGCACAGTTCACTGCCATGGCTTGGACTAAAAACGAACAGAACAATTTGAAATCTCCTATGCTAGGGCAACCTGTTCAAACAAAACAGCCCCCATCTGTGCCTTGGACTGGAAGTTTGATTGACCACCATAAAATATTCGACAACATTTCCATTGCTCAAACATGTCAGAGGACCACAAGTCCAATATATCCTAGCCCCAGCATAAAAGTTACTCCTAAGTCAGCACACTTAAGTACTCTCCTTCCAATGAATGTAATGTCACAGCATTTAGGATTGATGCTGAATAAAGGTTCAGCTCTCAGTTCGACTGCACCTGTGTTTACACAAGAGCATGCAAAGAGAGGTATGTGGTCACCTGCAGCATTAGATAAAGACTCTTCTATGATAGCACCAGTGCAGACAAAATCAAACTATGTACATTCCTTGTCTGAATATATTGATGAGGATGTTGATTTGAATCACATCGAGAGAGAAGTGTCACAAATGAAATCAACTGCAAATGTTATGAAGAATCATACATATACTGAATATACATCATCCCCAGTGGCTGTAGAGAGAGGACAGCCATTACTAAGTCCAATTGACCCAATGATACCCAGGACGTTGCCAGACTCTCCTCTAAGTGATGTAGATTTGAACAGTCCAAATGTTCAGTACAATCTGCAACCATCAGCCCATCCATCTTTAGCTGAATCTATTTTAGAGTCTCCCTTGTCTGATTTAGGCCTCACTATTAAACTTTCTAATATATTCCAAAGAGGAAAGGCAGACTGTACACCTGTGATGGATGACAACTTAAACAAACCAGACGATGATGTATATAACATTATAGATTTAGACACAAGTATGACAATCAGTCCATGTCATGGTCAACGCCAAGATAACCCAATCATAAAGCCCAACAATGAACCAGATGAAGGATTTAAAGTGGATGGACCCCTCCAAGTAAAAATGATATCATCTTGCATGTTTACAAAGTTTATTGTTTAAGTTTAATCATTTAGAGTTATCTGTTTACTGCACCTGTTTCTCGTTGAGGCAACAAAGTAATTTTCAGCATTACTTTACAAACAGGGATACAAGTGGATATTTCTGCCAACGGAATGTGGAGTTCCATCAACACACACTTTTGTTTATCTTTTTGATCTTTGATAGTTGTTTACTGTGTAGCATTAACATTGAATTACATTATATAAAAAAAACTAAAAAAAACTAAAAAAAAGAAAATTCAACGTTAATAATAGCACATTTACATGTACATAAAACCTATTGCAGTATTTCCATTGTTCTTCTCATATTTTATAATTTATTCATGATAATATATAGAGCTTAGCCACATGAAAATCAACATTAACTTAACTCTGAATTGAGTTAAATTGATCCTCATTTCTTTGAACATTCAAATTGTTGCACAAATTATAGCAGTATATTATATTATTTTCTGGTTACATGTAATACACATGTACAGTCATTGATTTTCTTCCTGTGGGTTCGCTTATTTATATACTAACATATTTAGTCTTATTAATTCTATAATATAAATGGCATGTTATGTGTTATAATCTATAACATATATACATGTATGTAGTACGATATAACATAAGTAAAATATAAATCCTAATGTTCATTGCATTTAACAAATTAAAAAATTTCATAAGAAATACCTTTATCATAATTCAAAACCACTACTGTACATGCCTTCCCACTTCCATTGCATTTAGTAGAAATTAAAGTCAGTTCAAGTTGCTCAAATTTAGAAATTCATATTGATGATTATTATTTGTATTGTATGTGTATTTATGTAAAGTTAATGTTTGTTTCAGTCATCCACAGGGTCTTCTACCAGTCAGTCAGATGATGACAACTTGGAGTGGAATGCCCAGGTCACCACAGTTGCACCTCTTAAACCTCCCTCAGCAAACAAGGGAGAGTCAGACTCATCTTTGGAGCTAGATGACCTTCAGGTGAGAAGACTTTGTTGTTATGTTACTTTCAAGATTACTTTTTATATCAACTATCCAATGAACAAGGGTTCAACTCATCTAGTCAGGTTGGTAGTAGACTAGATGCAAGTCCAAATAATCCTGATTTAAATCATTAAATGGTCAACAATTAGTCAAAGTAATATCATATTTGAAATCTACATATAAGGCTTCATCTAGAAATATGGTTTCAAAAATATTTATTTTCTTAGAAAATATGAATTCAAGGTCAGATTTATTCTTAGAGCCCATGTTATGAAATCATGAAAAGTGCTGTTTTATGTCACCACAAGAAGTCATTGGTCTTTTTTCAACTTGCTTCAAATTTTTTTCAAAATTATCTACAAGTTCTCAAAAAATCTGACTATACATTTGACCTTCAATGGCATTCCCAATGTCAAAAAAGATTTGACCTTCAATGACCTTCTCAAGCTCAAAAAGGTCTTTTTTTTCAACTTGCTTCAAATTGACCAATTTTTTCAAGATCATCTACAAGGTCTCAGAAGTTTTAATCTGACTTCAGATTTGAGATTTTACCTTCAAATTCAAAACTTCAAACTGACCATTTTTTTAAAATCATTGATACAGAGTTCTCAGAAATTCAAATCAGATGCAGACTTAACATGTAGACTAATAGCACTGTGAGCAACTAGGTGGTGACATTTTGTCATGTTAATGCCTTGTCTTTTCTTGTATTAGACAGATTCTCTTTTACTGGACCTATTTTCAATAATACAATTATCAAAGTCAAAATGGTTCTTTGAAAATCGAACCACTCAAACTCAATCTACAGCCTAAATTTTAGGGGTACCCTTTCCGTCATTATCCACCTGGTGGTGAAATTGGTAATAATTTCAGTGATTTGTGAATTTGCATGTACATGTAAATGTATTACAGAGTGTTCAGAAAGTATTGGTAATTTTGCTATAACTTTTGTTTTCTTGCTTTCTTTCTTCATGATATTTTCACAACAAAATAACTAAAATACCAGATTGTGTGGATGAATATGTTTTACAATACTGTATAACATGAAATACTGCCGTGGATATAAAGTTGCCGATTGCCGAATGTAAAACAGAAACGGCAACATAAAATTCGGAAATATAATTAAGTAATTGAAGATCGATCTTAGTGGGCGATAATATGGTGTCTAACATGCGTCAACTTACTGTAATAGGGTAATTTTCTAACGAGTATCAACTTACTATACTTTAACAAAAATCATAAATAAAATACGATAAAATCTAAGCTTTATTCCCCAGCACTACAATTACAAAGAAAGTTAATAATAAAAATGTTGCAGTTAAAATGCATGCAGTAAATTCTACAAAATATTAAAAGGATTGTCATGTTAAAAAGTTAAAATGTCAGAAGATATAATCGTATCCAAGTGCTTTGGAAATCCCAGTATTAAAAGTTTTTAATCCCGATATTAAAAGTTTTTAATCCTGGTATTATTGTCCTGAGTCTATCAAATGCGGGTATTATGTGAATAAATCACTCAAATTGTCACTCATAATGTCAGGATGTCAGGTTTTCGGAGTCAGTCAAATGAAGGTGATTAAAATTCAGTTGTAAATCAAAATTATATTAGGGGTGTCAGCTTAGCAATGTTTTATTTGGCTTTACATTTAGGGGTGTCAGGTCGGCAAACTTTTATTCGGCAATAGCAATTTTAATCCAATTCGGAAAATAAAGCACCCGGATTTAATACATGTTATACAGTATCTGTTTTTTATTTCAGGAGCAACCTGTCAAAAGAAATCACAACTCTAACTATAAACTTAGAGAGAACAAGAAAAAACGAAGTTATGCTGAGATTGATAGGGCAGATCTTGTTGACTTAGACATCCATGTTGAGTCAAATTGAGTATATTAAGACAACATGTGATATGGTTTGATCTACTACAATGTAGGAGGTCATAAGGCTGCAATATAAGTGTCCATGTATGGTTTAGATGTACAAGACATAAAGTAAAGATGCATTGAAGATAAAGAAGCGTTGAACAGCTGATGCATAACTTGTGCATACTAATATTGGAGCCATAACTTGGTGCATGTACATGATAATGTTGGAGCCATACCTTGGTGTATGTACATGTTAATATTGGAGCCATAATTTGGTGCATGTACATGATAATGTTGCAGCCATAACTTGGTGAATGTACATGATAATGTTGCAGCCATAACTTGGTGTATGTACATGTTAATGTTGGAGCCATAACTTGGTGAATGTACATGATAATGTTGCAGCCATAACTTGGTGTATGTACATGTTAATGTTGGAGCCATAACTTGGGGTATGTACATGTTAATGTTGGAGCCATAACTTGGTGTATGTACATGTTAATGTTGGAGCCATAACTTGGTGTATGAACATGATAATGTTGGAGCCATAACTTGGTGTATGTACATGTTAATGTTTGAGCCATAACTTGGTGCATATACATGTTAATGTTGGAGCCATAACTTGGTGAATACATCACTATGTTGAAGCCTGGTCCCTGCTGTAATAGAGTAAAGAAGCCTAGAACAGCTTGTACATTATCTGTGAATGGAGTCACCATTTGAATATGTGTTATATGTACATTACTATTTCAGTGAATCCTGTATATGGAACACCTAAATTGTTCCTTTTGTACAGGTGTTTCTTAGAGAGAATTGTTCATTCATATGTTAGTTGATGAAATTTGGTTCTTTTTAAAACTTCTATATAGGTCTTCCTTAAAGAATAAGTGTTCAGTTTGTCAGGTGTTCCTGACAGAGAGGTATTCCATCTGAGAGGTGTTACTGTTCTTTTCTTAAGTTGTAAGAGGTTCTGATTACTGGAGTTACTTAGGTAATGGCTTTTAAGATAAAAGCAAGTCAATCATGCATGTAAAGACCATCAAGTTTGATTTTTATTATTCTCAAGAGATGAAGGTACATAATCTCTTCAAATTAAGAATGTTGAAGAATTTACATTTTGTTAGTTTCCTGGAATACTCTACATTACAATCAATTTGAATATGTAAGTTATATACATATAATACGTGAAGTTCACATTCATGAAGTAAAAGTTCCATGGAAAATATATTGGAAAATGTGTTCATTAACTGGTGCTCTAACTAATGTAACTGACATCTGTTGCACTATTTAATACCCTTTAATTTGCAAACAAATTAGAATTTCAGCAAAATGATATGTAGCAGTAAGACAATTGATATCAATGCATTGATTTTTTAAAAAATAGTTTAAAAATTAGCATTTTTTTCTTTATTTGAGTTGAGTGAGCTGTTCAATGTTTCCTTAGCATATTTTTTCAATATACCAAGTGGCACCATTTTTTGTTCAATTTATAATGTTAGTTTTGTAAGTGTGTGTTTAAAGCTGTGCATTAACACCAGAGTGTTCTAGATGTGGTACCAGCATGATAATGTATGTAACATTTATATGCTTTGTGTCTTTTTTAATTTTTAGTTTAAATCTAATTTGGAACATCATGCAGAGAGGTTCACGTCACCTTCTTATCTTGTTATTTATCGAAAATGAATAAAACAGTGAAATGTCTGACTTGTAAATTGCGAAGTTAGTTAAGGTTTAGTTTATATTCAATTTGGTGATGTGTAATTAATATATATTTAAGAACTTCTCAACCATTTAGAAGTGCCACTTTTGTGCAACCTTTGCTACTGTTTGTCTGGCTGGTACCACTATGGCTTATTAAATAGTAATTTAGTGTAAAATATAAGGGATATTAGAAAGTTGACCAAATAACAGAAATGTGTCATAATTAATGATTAAACTGGTCAAATAGTGTAAGATTCACACACAGTGTCAGCATTACTTCCATTAACATTGATACGGAATTGTAAAATAGGAATTTATGTTTATTGTAAAATTTACATTGACAATCGTTAAGGTAGAATAGCTGTTTATTTTATATCTTTAAAATATGTTAGTGTTGTACCTTTCAGATAAGAAATGAAGAATTTTTATAAGATATTTTTCTCTGGTGAGTAGTTCATAGAGATTATCCTATGAGGTTCAGTCAGGATATTGAGATTATCTTGAGGTTAATATAATACATCTGACAGAGGTTCTCGTACACGTGTGGGAGAAATAGTAATATCTGCTGAGATCTCATATTCTCACTTTCAAATACAAAAAAAACTATGTATTCTGGAATATATTCTGAAGCTCATTAAGAACCTTAGTCGTTAATCTTTTTTGCTTTGTAAAACAATCTGGCTATGGATATGCAAAGTTTAGTGGGAAAATGACATTGATATGATATGATTTACTATGTACAATATCAGTGATATATAAAAGTTGAGAACTGTACTGTATTGTATTATACAGTACTGTGGAGTACACATACTGTATAACAATAGTACACATACTGTTCTGTGGTGTTATGACTCTACCATACTGTAATGCATAAATTCCTTTATTATATAAGATTAATTATGGTATCATATCAGCACAAAATGTACACAAAGTATTTCCTGATTTTATTTATTGTTTGAATGTTTAGTATAATGTTTATAGTTATTAGATCATTCATTATTGTACAATTGTACCCTATTTTGTGCTATTGCACTCTATTGTAGTGCATGACATAACTAGATTAGTGACTAGATTAAGGTTAAGTATGTAATCCATGAACAGTTCAGTTTTATTCAACCAGATTTCAGATATTCATGAGGTTTTGTCTACTTTCTAAATCAAGACAATATACATGTACATGTAATTTAAGATATTCATAATATTGATATTAAAACAAATAATTTAATAACTTCGTGTGTTCATAAATCATTTAGAAAATACATATATGTACCTCGTTAGTAAAGTAAATACATTTAATTAGCAGTTTACCACCCTGTATATTCTGGTGCCATTGGAGGAGCTGTTCATATCATTTTTGGCTCACATGGTGACCTTAGGCCCATTTGTCTTTCTGTTCATCCATTCCTTAATAAGGATTATGCCTTGCAAACCCATTGCTGCGTTGGTATAGTTGAAGAAATATGAGAGACATTTTAGTATGATTTAAATGGGCTGTTACCAAGAGAGAAATCAACTTGCAAAAATTACTATACTACTTTGCCTTTGAAACAATATTTGGACAAATGAAAAGTGTCATTCGTCTTAACTGAGGCTGATATCCATTTGGGTTCATACAGGTAATTTACGACTTTGCTCCTAAGCTTCTACTTCCTTGTTTTGAGAAATCTGCCTTTTTGTCGTCAAAATATCATATTTTTGGCCAATACGAGCATATATGCAAGTCTGTATCGTTTATAAAGTTCCCAAATAAGACATATTTTGCAATTGATGCTGAGAAGTATCATTGTTAGTTTCAGCATCCAAGGTTTTAGTTTGCTCAATAGATTATTCAGGAAGTTTGACTAAAATTCAGTTATTTTTATCCCAAATTTTGCAGTGTAACTCACATGATTCCATGCTGATCTGATTCATTGAGTTGTCATATTGTATTATATTGGCTGTACTTATCTATGATGTTTTTTGTGACTTGACCTACTTTTGAACTTGAGCTATTTTTAATAATGAGAACTAAGGAACCACCATGTGAGCCCGCAGCAAATGGTGCCATTTTAATGATCACACTAATTTGTAATTCAAGAAAATAATATCTGATATACTGTATGGCAACTGTTTATAAACATTAAGTTGTAATGTTGTATCATTTTATAATATTAATGTAATTTCAAGTGTTAATTTGAAATAAATTCAATAACATTTCTACTTAAATTGTTCTGTAAAATCAGTGAAAAGAATACAAAATATATGGTACGTGCTGAACACTGTGGCATTATAATCAAACATCTCATTGACAATGTGCAACTGACATGTCTGTCTCAAGGGATCAATAATTTTCTATGAATTCTTAATAACATGCAGTGCCTCTTAGGCTTCACTTCCTATTATAGGTTGTATAATATCTTATATGCCCTAAATATGTCTTGAGACCAACTTCTCCGCACAGTATTGCCAATGCAATTGAGAAAATAACAACCAACTGTCAAAATTTGAGCTTTCTGCCATCAAATGTAATTCCATCAGTATTTTTACATGACTTGAACTAGAACCCAGGCAGCCAAATACGAACTGTTTTTTAATTTCACTTCAATTTCTGACCATGCCCCACCCCCCTTTAGTGGGCCCAGAAAAAATATTTAGTTTCTGGGCCCCACAATTTTGTAGGGCCTCAAAAAATAATTTGGTCTTTTTGGGGCCAATTTATCAAAAATCGGCCTTAGTTTTCAAAAAGGCCCAATATTTGGTTTTAGGAGCCCAAAATGTTGAGTTTTGTTTTGAAATTTTTTTTTCCAGACTCAAAATTTGCCCCCCCCCCCCTTGTTAATTTCTGGATCCGCCAATGGACACTGCAACTTGAACATGCAGAATCTCGAATGCATGGTGATGTATAAAGTCTCCATCAGAGGCTATGTGTTACATTCTGAATGGTAAATGTGGGTAAAGTTCTTGCCAAATGCCAACTTCATCTATGATGGGTAGACTGTAACACACCAGCTCTGATGACTTAGAGTATTTGGAGTTATGACTTGCATCAGAGAGTCAACATCAATGTCAAATTTTAATAAAGACCCTATATTATAGATTGATCTCTGCACCTATGATGGGCTACTATTAGAAGTCTGCCAAATGTAAAAGCTTTTACCTGTATTTTGGACGGGGTGGGGGATACCTTTAAGACCCATTTTCCTTTAGAAATGATTCAAGAAATGGAATGTTCTAGTCTGATCAAAGAGATTTTGTATCCATCTAATGGTTGATTGATACTGACTAAACTTTTCAATTTAGCATGGGCTTTCAAATGCCCATGAATATAGGAAAGCTAGGCCCTTACTTTCATGGATATAATTTCCTTCAAGCCCTTGAAAGACATTTTTGAACTGTATATGAGACTAGGAGGGTCCTTAAATTCATGGTGTAACTTAAAAATATCCAAAGTTAAATGAGCCTTGCTGCTTGGAAAAATGTACTGTTAGTTTACATAGCACAGCTCCCTACTTCTACATATTGAAAGTCGCGTATGTGCACAACCTTCGAAACTGAATCCATTTTCATGTTTTTCTGCACGTGAAGAATTTTTATTCAGTTGGTCTTTATGTCGAATTGAAGACATACATAAGCACAAATGAGTATAAAACGGAAGCCTATCGATGTGTCGGAGCCGTCAACACCAGTGGGATCCCCTGTGAAGCGCCAGTCAACCGGGAAACATAAACAGAAGAGTATCAAATCTCCACAACATGTTCAGTTGAATGAACTCTACAATAACTCTGAATACAAATCGAAGCTTGGACATTCGTTCAAAACAAAAGCTTCGTTAACAGGTATGTCGATAATTTGCAACAGAAACAAGGAGGATTGGCAGCCATTATTCTAACTCGATCCTTTGTTGCATTGCGTGGAACAATTTCATAAAAATATTTCTATTCCTTGGACCAAGTATTTCATTGGAGATGGGCATTACATACCTTCTTCTAAGGCCACTGTATCGTGGCCTTCGTCCAAAGATAAATTCCTGCATGTATAACTGGTAACTGGTCATGTCATAATCATAATTTGAAATCAAATATCCACCATTTTTCCACATCACAATTTGAATTGCGAGTTTTGGTCTTATATAATATATTACCTCACCAAAAATTCCAAAACACACATGAAGTGATCAATGTATTAGTTCACATCTTCTGGATCGCTAACTTAGAATTTACAGCCAGTTACTAATGTCAGACATTAACGACATTTCGTCCAGTTTTCGAATAGCGCCATTTTTCGTGGTTTGTTTTAATTTTAGATGAAATCCTGACGAAATCATGCAATATCTCTGGTGATTTTTAGAATATTCAATAAATGAATTAAATGTATACCTCTGTAATTTGAGACAGTCACTACTTTTTTTGGCTTTGAGAGAATGTTTAGGCTGGTGGTAGAATAAGAATTGATAAAGTCAAAAATATGTGCATACTAGCACGGTTACTTTTCATTTTTTGAAATATAATCAATGTATGGTTGTATTGTATGAACGTAAGACCAGAAATTCAGACAAAGTGTACACAGTGTAGAACAGCTAAGAGAAACCATATTTCCAAAGAATGCAATTGTTTTTTAGATGATTGTGCCACCCTACATAATGACCCATTCATGTGCTGTGTGTTGCCAGACTTCTTGGATGATCCACAATTTCTAGATGGTCTACAAAATGAAATGGAAGATCAGATATACTATCAGAAAAATAACGATCTTTACAAGTTCCAACAGGTCTGTTCAAGCATTTTAGAAGAAAAGAAATAAAAAATGGTGTGAATATAAATAAATTGAAGTATGATAAAAACCCTACAATATTATACAATATAATAGTTCACAGTTATTCATCGAGATTAGAATTGAATATTTGTTTTATTATTCACTGTTATATTCCTCACTCACTTTAATGGAATAACAAACTATTAATGTCTAATTAATCATAACAATGTACTCCCAGATATATACAAAATTAAAATTATACTGGACTAAATCGGACTGGTGAATATCATTTGGTATTCAACGAAAGTCAGGAATATGACAGTGTGATATAATAATGATTTATATTCTAAGCTTAATATTTTATATATTATACCGATAAATTGGCTCATTATACTGTTTAATTTCAGAGTGATGATTTAAAGAAATGTAAGAGCCCCCATATAAAAGCACTAAGGTATGGAAAAGTTATGTGAAGCATCACTTGGATTTTCAATGTTATACTAGGTGATTGTTTGTGGCCTTAAAAACACTTGACAACAGAGCTCAATTACCAAGAATATGTTAAAGATACATTAGCATACTCGTAAGGAAAAATAAAAATAAAGAAACGATTTTAATTAATTTTTTACCAATTTATTTAACTTAAAAGATGAGTTTTTGTTTGTACATACACTTTATATTGTAGGAAACTTTTATCAGGGAGTTTTGTACAATGGCTTCGAGATGTGACAGGTATTCCCCTATCTAGCAAGATTGACATGACTTGTTCCAGATATGACCATACTGGTGAGTCAGTTATATTGGTAAATACACTTTTTTATGTTACATTATTTAATGTTATGCATGTACATGTATATGTATAAAGCCACTGTTTTTATGACCAGTATTTGGTATTTGTATAATTGTCAGTCATCTTTCTGCAGTTTGTGTCATACAAATTATTGCACTTTGTAACTATTCACAATAACTTACTCAGTGGTTCACTGTTGTAACATGAGTGCCTTGTTTGTGAATTATTTGTTGAATTAAAGAGGCACTGACTGATTATTTGTTATTTTCATATGTATGCTTCAGACACTTTACTTTGTCATGATGATGAACTGGAAGGGAGAAGAATTGCATTTATCCTTTACTTGGTGCCTGTCTGGAGTAAAGAGGATGGTGGCACATTAGATCTATTCAACATGGATGGTAGGTAGAAACAGCAAAATTAATTACCATAAATGAAAACAGCATTATTAATTCTAAAATATGCAATACATATTTTAATTTAAAGTTTATTTGTATTAAAAATAGTTAAATGGACTTTTCATTAATGTTTTCCCCACAAAAACAATGTATAAAATATAATTTTGATTTAATGATTATTTTCAGAGTATGGTCAGCCGAATGACATTGTTAAATCTATTATTCCATGTAGGAATACATTTGCTTTCTTTGAAGTTACTGAAGCATCACATCACCAGGTAAAAGTCAATGGAGTTATAATCTGAACACATTTTCTGCAAATTTGTGGCCCAATGTTATTATATTGTAGTGTGATTGATGAATGCCTTTGTAAGTCTTATAATTTTTATGTCACCACCAAAAAGTGGTATATTTGAGATTTGACCTTCAATGACCTTTTCAAGGTCAAAAAAAGATTAAAAAGGTCAAAAAGGTATTTTTAACTTGCTTCAAATTGACCTTTTTTCAAAATCATCTACAAGTTATCAGAAGTTCAAATCTGACTTTAGATATGAGACTTGACCTTCAATGACCTTTTCAAGGTAAAAATAGGTGAAAAAGGTCTTTTTCAACTTGCTTCAATTTAATGGACCAATTTTTTTTTTAAATCATATACAAGTTCTCAAAAGTTCAAATCTGGCTATTGATTTGACCTTCAATGACATTCTCAAGGTCAAAAAAGATTTGCCCTTCAATGACCTTCTCAAGGTCAAAAAAACATCTCCAAGTTCTTAAGTTCAAATCTGACTTAAGATTTGAGATTTCACCTCCAATGACCTTCTCAGGGTAAAAAAGTTATTTTTTTATTGACCAATTTATTTTTTCAAATTCATCTACAAGTTCTCAGAAATTCAATTCTTACTTAAGATTGAACTCATAATACTGTGAGCAGCTAGGTGATGACATTTTGTCATGTTAATGCCTTGTTATTTTGTACAACCCATTTCTTTTACCCACTAGTTTAACATAAAAGGCCAACATATTGTCATGTTATGAATGTTCAAGTCAAGAATGGTTATAGATTGAAGATTGAAGTTATAGATTTCTCATGTGCATAAGACATTAAGTTTTCAGAACAAAAACGATTCAACAATATTGACCATTTCTTGGCTCCAGTACAATATCATTACCTTATGTTCTCTTTATGTGCATGTCATATAGGTGTCCGAAGTACTAGCTGAAGGTAAAGTGAGGCTCTCAGTGAATGGCTGGTTCCATGGTCCAAATATTCCACGCCCCAAACGTCATATAGAAGTACCGAGGCCATTAGAACCACACATTCCAACAGAGGTAAACAGCTTTTGAAAATTTGAATAGGTGGAGACTAGATGTAATGCTTGAATATATTTAAAGAATGCAACATTATTGGGATGTTAAAGCTGAGGGAGGGAAAGAACATATTTATTTGACACCCAATTTTTTACATTTACTGTACTTTGGTTTCTGATCAGTAAAGTCTAGAAGTACATGTAAATAAGACCCCTCATGTAGATTCAGTGTCACTGAACCGAACTGAACGAACTGAACATACCTTGACATATCATATGGATTTTTTTCTTTAGATGAGGATAATGAGGCTGTATTCTTCTTATAAGGTGAAATGTGATTTCTGTGTTTTATAGGAGGACATCTTGTATGAATGGGTCAACCCTATATACCTGGATATCAATGTGCAATCCCAGATTCAGGAGAAGTTTGAGGAGGACTCTGAAATAGAACTTAAAGAATTCATAAAGGTATTTATCCTATCGAACAAAGAGGGATATAGGGAACGCCTCCGCCTGTCCGTCCGTACTGCCATTTTTGCTATATACTTTGTATGTAAAAATGCCAGCCATGGCTGTTCAATGGGATTTGCTACGCTTTGGAGTTGCTGTTGTCTTATATTTTGCAAATACAAATCTGTCAGTAAAGTTGTTGGACCTTGTTACAGTTAAATTACATGGAAGTAATAGCGGCAATAATATTTTGAAATTAATAAGAAGTGAATGCTTTCTTTAGGGCTCAACCTAAACTCAAAATGAAATAAATCATAGTGTCCTTTAGTCGACCTGTGTAAGAATAATCTCAAACTGGCTACGACTATGATCTTTCAGACTGAAATTGACCTCTCATACTGACTTTCATAAATTTATATTACGATCCATAGTGTTCAATTTTCAGGAGGAAAAATATCAGCAACTAGTGCAAGAAATGAAAGACCACGATGTGGAATGGGAACACATAGGACCCCCTAATAAAAGGTACAACAGATCAAGTACAATCACATTCCTGATCCACAGAGTACAGGATAAGCACTGATCCACAGTATATTGCATTTAGGCTCTTATCCAACAAAAATTAAAAGTAGTGCTCTCTTTTTACCTTGGATGAATAAATCTTTAATATGTGTATACATGTACCTTCAGATTTTTAAACTGCATTATTTCCCCGGTGTAACAAAATTGTATATCAAATCTTTTAAATAATTGCACGATAAAACTTTTCAGAAATTACAATGCAGCCAATGTTAAGACATTGCCTAGCTTAATGAGGGAATGTATCAAGTTGTTCCAATCAGAAATGATGTTCCTGACACTCTCAAACATGACTGGGCTGTCTTTTCATGCCCTTGCACCCAGTGATAGTGAATCTGATGATGAGCCTGACACTGAAAGTGATAACCTTGGAGAAGCAAGCAAGGAGAGTGTTAAAGCCAACACTGAGAGGCAAGACTCTAGTGTAATGGACACAGGGTTGGAACATACTGAACCTGATACAGATCACACCATAGATGCCACACATGTAAAAGTGACTCAGAGACAAGATTCTAGCATAATGGACACTAATGACACTCATAACACTGGAACGGCAATTGAGAGGCAGGACTCCTCTGTCATGGATACCAGTGAATCTATGGGTGGTCACAATTTGAGATCAAGGGCAAGATCGACCTCATCTTCAGAGTGCAATGTTAGCGTAAAAGGAAAATCTAAAACTAAAAAAGATGCTGGTGAAGGAAAAAAGAAAAACAGTAAAGGTATGTGATTGTAATGCATGCATGAGAAGCAGATATACTTATAGGGTACATTTTTCAAGTTCTTAAGCAAAGCATGTCTATGCAAAGCATTTAGAAATCAATCTTTTTGTCTTGTAAATGGCTACACGGCACACATACTGGAATGCATGAGAAGCAGATATAGGGTACATTTTTCAAGTTCTTTAGCAAAGCTTGTCTATGCAAAGCATTTAGAAATCGAACTTTTTGTTTTGTAAATGGCTACATGGCACACATAATGTTTAATTGTTGTCTTGTAAATGGTCTAGCGCCTCTTGCCAGCTCATGTTATTCTAGATATTGTATTTCTTCAAACACTTCTATATTTCTTATGTTTAATAGAGGAAGACCAACATTCATCATTTCTATTATTTTAGAGAAAGCTCCCAAGAACCCACGTTGCCATGGAGAATTGAGAAAATGGCAGCATGGTGACTACACATTGGTGCATGATACAGATTCAGAGGGGGCAGAATTTGCACTGGATGCAAACTTCTTCTGTTGCTGTAAAGGTATAACTTTTGATATATCAAGGCTATTTAGTATATTAAGCTAGGCTATTAAGCTGCTAGTTAAGTGGTTACTACATGAGGACGATGGCATTAGTCTAATGTTTCTATTTTAAGGTATTATTAATCGTATGTTAAAGTGACATCCCAACTGTTCAACTCACCTGTCTTTGCCCATTAGTACTTGTATAGTAGTTATGGTCACCATTAAATAACTCAGATGCGAGTAGGTAGTTTCTAGTTTCATCACCAGGCGGCTCATTCGGTTGGTGAGATAGCATGGCGGGTATAATAGAAAGTTCCCTTTAACTTAATATTATCAGTTTTAGTGGTTCAATTTTCATATCACCCTAATGTAAAGAAATTTCACTGATTTTATAACATATGGGGAATCTCCCGGAACTAGAAATCACATTTTCCCAAAATTTTAAATTTTCAAAGTTGGTAAACAATTTTAGAAACTATATTTCTAGATGTACGTTTACATGTAGATTTCAAATATGACATCATTTTGACTGAATTTTGAATATTTAATGAAGTAAATCAGGATTATTTCTACTCGCATCTAGTCTATTGAATACAAGTACAATTGTGTCATTGTTCCAGGCTGGAAGCAGGAGTATGGGGGCTTCACAAGTTACATCACTAAGGGTGAGGATGAGGAGGTATGTACATTTATCTTCTCATATGCTGATCTTGTGCATTGTTGATACAGGTGCCTATCTGAGGCTAATGTAAACTACTGTATCTCTGTCATCATGCAGTATGGTGTCACAGCATCACTTAAAAGAATAACAATTTACCAGTAGCTCAGATATGGTGGTTCTACCAATAAAAACAAGTCCTTTGCGATAATTTCACTCAAAGAAGAGTAAAAGGTGACTAATGCTTTACAAAGAAAAGTTTTTTGTTTACTTTGTAGTGTGCTAATCTTGCTGGCACTCTAAATGAATTTTAATATACCACTGGTATATCTTTTTTTAAAAGAAATGTACATCCAAAAGAAAAGTTTCAAATAAACACCTGTTCAAAATAAATGCCTATTAGATAAGCCAGAAATCTGGTAGACCATGTGTTATGGGCATTTTTAAATTTTTAGTTTGGGGGCCTTACAACTTTACAATTACTGTATAATTTTTTATATTTGTACCTATAAACTGGGGTTTGTTTATTTTCAGTTATTAACTGTGCAGCCATTGGACAATTCCCTGGCCCTTGTATACAGAGACAAGCAATCTCTAAAGTTTGTGAAGCATATCAACAGTCTAGTGAAACAGGCCGAGAGAGACCATTTTTATGACATTTCATTTGTCTACTACGAGTAGATGACTAGAATATTATTAGTATATAGTCAATGCAGTAATGCAGTAGAGTTGCAATGCAAGTTGGTGCTTGCCTGGTCGGAGAAAGTGCCATATGCTACATACAGATTGTGATGTGCAACTAAAGAGTAACATTGAATCCAATATAAATGTACTGCTTCAAGTTCAAATTTTTAGTTTTCACAACTTGGACAGTTAAGAGGTTTTGTTCTCAAGCTTTAACGCATGTTGAGGCTGAATCAGCTGAATGTGCATTAGGGTCAGAAACTGGAGATTGAATTTAGCCAAGCTTGAAGATTATGGATATACGTAACTGTCTAGAATTTCATATATCAGAAGTTCCATTTAACATATAGACACACAACCCAGGATCGTTTTGATTTTAGATGAAATCTGGCTGTTCTCAAACTTGCGATAAGGGAAGTTTGTTAGACCAATATGATTATACACAGCTGTGCAAGTTTTGATATTTTGAATAAATTACTCCTGCTGTAGGACAACGGAACAGTTGCTGCTTCCATGTCAGTGGTAGTGTGTCTGTGTTAATGGTTCCATAATAAGATAAAAGAATATTCAATTATTTGCTCCATTCTTTTGCTTCAAAATCTATTCACCAAGATACACACCAACATAGATTTTTGTTATATCATTTCCAGATTTCATCATCTTCGCTATAAAACACACTCTACCCTACCACGTGACCACATTTAAAAGGGATACAGGCTACAGTGAAGTGCCAAATGTTTATTTTCATATTTCTGAAGGTATACTAGATTTTAGATATCTTCCAAGTGTTCTACTATACATAATATAGATTCCAGGGTTCTCACTAGGCTTTTAGACTCTGGAGATTCTCTGGAGTCTAATGTCTTTAAACCCTCTTGCTCCATAGTCTAATAGCCTCTCTGGAGTCTAAAGCGTTTTTTTCTGGAGTCTAATTTTACATTTCTGTCACATTATTTGTGATAAATCCCTTGAGAAAATATACAAAACTGGATAAAAACAAGGAATAGGAAGTGGGAAACCTTTCAGAAATGTATTTTGTGATTACAATAGGTAGATAATCTTAAGTAGTATTTTGAAAAGTATACAAATAGTATATCTCTGATCTCAAACGTCAAATGAGTGAGTAGTCGTGATACTGCAAAAATCCGGGGTCTAAAAATTCCTGGTGAGAACCCTGGATTCATTGAGCACGGATTTCATTGTATTAAAAAATTGAAAAATGCTCTAGATAAAGATAGAGAATACCTGCTCCATCTGCAACTTTACTGTAGCGTGTATCGTTTTAAACCTAGTAGTGTAGTGTCTAAAAGTAATTAAGAAGTTGAGTTTGGTTTGTATGTGGGAATGATGGCGGGGAAATTTGGAAGTACAATATGTACTGCATCTCTTATCTTGATCATTATAATACTGTAATGATGCCTATTGTGCATCCATTTCACATACAATGTTATTCTCCGAGGTTTGATTCTGTAATACAAAATATCTGGTGTTTAAAATCTGGGAATAAGTGTATTTTTTAAATTCACTTAAATATTTATCTCAAGGCCGCAATATTGTTCACTCTATCATGTATTTATTGTTCTTGATCTGAATCGTATAGTAACTTATAAAATAAATACAATACTTTATTATTAATAACATACTTTATTTTTTGTATCTTTATATAAAATTACAATAAGTAACTTAATACATCAGAACCTGTGTCACTGTGTGAGTGGAACACAAAAAGTGTTCCACTTCTGTCCTACATTCCTTTCATTTTTAAAAATTATGGCAAGTGGAATGAGGTGATCCACCTACAGTAGTGTTCCACTAGACAGTTTCTACTATATCTACTTTTAAAAAATGCAAATAAGTCTACTTTCTCAACCTAGTGGAAGACAAGAGTGACATTCCATTTTCAATACAAACTGAGCTTGAAACACAATACTGGATATTCATTCAGATAATTGATGCACACATCTATCAATCCACCACCATAATCTCACAAGCAATGTTTCTGTAATCTAAATAATTTATTCAAAATCACAAAGTATGATATTACATATTTCATGAAAATCAATCTTTTCCAAGTGAATATAGTCACTAAAAGTAACATCGTATGATCGTATGATCTGTAAAATGAAGCCGTCTGATTGGTCAGTTATTGTGCTGTACCAATCTGTATTGCTACTAAGATTGTCCCCATTGATTAGCTCCGTAGCAACACAGAAAATATTGGTACGGAGGGGGCAATCTCTGTAGCAATACAGAGAATACAGAATATTTCTAAGAGATTATCTCCTAAGTAAACTGTATTGGCCTAAGATCACACGATAAAAACGTTATAGAATGATTTGAAGTGCAATTCAGGATATATTCTGCTTGAGAAACTTTGTAAATAAAAATGTTATAGAATGATTTGAAGTGCAATACAGGATATATTCTGCTTGAGAAATTCTGTATTGGAACGAGACGAAGTAGAGTGCCAATACAGAATATCTTATAATATTGCAGTTGCGGTAAAGACAAAAGATGTGGCCTATTAGTAGGCATGCTGTTTGACTACCCTGCCGTGATGCATATACATGTAATGTTCAAATGGAATATTGGCCCTTACCCAATTCATGAAAAATACATTAATATGTAAACTGATAAAGCATATATATAATCTGAGCTTTATCTTGAGCCATTGCACATTGATTTTCACTGTGAATAAATTGCAATTTTTGGTGTTGGTTATTTTTATGGCATAATTTATTACTTTTACACATATTTTTGGATCATTATAAAATGATTGAAATTGTGAAGTGATGAGAGTCTTTTACAATATGAGCAAATGAATAAGTGGATGATGATCATCAGTGACCATTATCCATATTAAGAAGAGGAAGACAAGATAGGACTACAAAACCAATAAAAATGAAGAGCAGTTTCAGTAGGGGATCTTGATCATTTGAGATTTCACCAGGTAAAATCTCTAAGAAAAGGACATACAAGAATGTACCTGCAGCCAGTGCCTCAAAAAGTATTGCGACTAAACTCCCACCAAATCCTTTGACTTCCCCTAACCCAATCCCAATAGCTACACCAATAGGGATCATTATTACAAACACTATTGAAAGTTTAATGATCGTTGCTACTCTAAGGTTAGATTTTGCAAGGTTCATCCCAAGAGCAAATGAAACTAGACTTTCATGAATTAAAATTGCTATAAATAAATTAATTATTTTGGTGAGATCAGTTTGTAGCCCTAGCACCATACCTTCAAATATACCATGAATGCTTAATGCTAGGAGCAAAATAAAGCTCCTAAGTCCAGCAGTCCGTGAACCTTCAGGTATTATCATATGGCTATGGCCGTGACCATTATTATGTCCACTTCTATGACCATGTTCTTTACTGGTATTGCAAGCAACATGACTTGGGTCAGCTGCTTGTTTATGTGTAATCAAACTATTGTACACCTCCTGATCACTATCATCTCCAGAAGTGGATGATGTTGATGAGGTGGTCACAGCAGAATTATTTGATTTATTCCTGTGTGATTTGATCTTTCTGGTAATCTCTTTAGGTGTTCTTGAGCTCTTTAATTGTCTTGGCATAGGGCTCTTTGACTTGATTGAGTTTAATTCTAACTCAGCGTCTGTATCACTGTCCAAGTGACTATATCCATTTTTATTGCATTTCATAACTGCTTTCTCTATGAAGACAACAAGGAAAAACCCTAAAACAACTGCAAATTCAGTTACAGGGTAATCAATATGTATATCCTCTTTCTTTAAAATGTTATTAAACTTCTCATGTATATTTGGCAAGAGAGCAATGAAGCATGTCCCCAGGAAGACACCACCAGCAAAGCAGTTGCAAAAGCTGATGATCCTCTCAGACTTGGAGCTTAGGACTCTGTTAGGGTCTCGTGGAATGATCTTGAGGGGCAGTATGCATGCAATGAAGTTCACAGCAAGTATGGCCAATGTACAGAGGCCCCTGGCCAATATGGTATCCATGGTTGCTGTTAATGGTGTCAAGAAGTTCTTGCGTTACAATGGAAATGTAAACCTCGCCTGGAAATAAATTTAAAAAATCAATGTGATTAATATTAAAGTATAATTCCTTTAAATACAAAAGTTCATCAAAAATAAATATTGATTTTTAATGCCTTAAATTTGCAATTCCTTAAGTTTCCTTGTTAACTTCCTTAGTATGGTGAGAATTTTTGAGAATTTTCACGCATCCACTACAAGTGTACTAAATTATCTATATCTTTTATTCAGTATAAGTCAAACAGTGATCAAATGTTACAAAAGAGAATCAGTTAAATTAAACTTGGTTTACCTAGCTCTAATCCTAATTCAGAGATTGATTAATTTGCTATGAATGCAGATACAGCTGTTCAATCTAACATGCTAAACTGTTGCTGTCTAACTTGTATTGATTTTGTAATAAGCAAGATGACATTGCACATTGATGCATATGTACCACAAGCATGTAGATTAATACTTAATAGCATCAATTGTATAAGTCTATTTTTGTTTATGTTTTTCACCTCGGGTATTAGTTCAGTTAGTTTGATTAACATTTAAATATTACCTCATGACCCACCTACATATCCGAAATATGAGTTACCATGGGAACCATATTTTTTTTCCAATAAGTGGATAATGGGACAAACAAAAAACTGTTCAAATTTAAAGTAAAAGTCACAAAACTGTTATTTTAGGAGACTTTTTCTCAAAGGTTATCAATCAATGAGGTACTCATGCCCTGTCATTAGATGGAAAAAATGAACAAAGGGAGAGGAACCGATTTCTGCTTGAAAGTTAGCAATCTTGGAAGATTCATTTTTCCCCTATAAAGTTTACGAATAAATCTCTAAATGAATAGGTGCAATGTATTTAATAATTTTATCTTAACTGATACACTTCTAAGGTGTGAGATCTTTTAAAAAAGGGTGCAAGGCCACCAACGTGCACAAATCAGTGTTTTTGCTATAAATCAAGACAATGGTCTACATGACCTCTAATTAATACTTATAAGTGACATTTTTATTACAAAAATAATGCCATTGTTAGTTTTTCAAAACAAGTTTCTTGCAGATTTGAAGCATTTCCTTGCAGAAATCAGCTACTCTCCCCTCTGTTCATCTTTTCCGACCACATAGCGTAAAACTACTATTCTTTATTAAAGATATTAACAGATGAATCTGAATATGAATGATATTATTTTCTCTGCTCTATAAATAATAACAATCCCTTTAATAGGTATTAGATATGCTGTTGTTTCATGGTTAACTTGACATGTATACAACTTACAAACATGATGTAAATAGAGGATATCCTATGATTTATGAGTGATATGATTTTTATCCACGAATTGAGAGTGCAGATGTCAATATCCATGAGTGGATTAAAATCATATCACAAGTAAATTAAGTGATTTAATTCGAATTTCCCAAATGATCCGCCGATGTTGACACTTAGCCTCGTTTTGAGTCTGAAGTAGCAAAAATCCATAATTCATAGCATACGGCGCCGTATGTCATGGCTGAAACACCGTATGCTATGGTTAAATGAAAATAAAATATGATATTTTTGACAAATTTTCACTTAACCATAGCATACGGTGTTTCAGCCATGACATACAGCGCCATATCCAAACTCTCTCGCTACGCTCGCTCGTGCAGATATCATATCCATTCGTGGATAAAAATCATATCACTCATAAATCATAGGATATCCTCTATTTACCACTGATTACAAAAATACTGTGTAATCCTATGAATAGCATGCTTGAGAATGATCATATATCTCTGGCTATCCTTTCTAAAGTCATTGCCTAATTTTTGAAGAGTGGAGAATTCCTAACAACAAATTATTTTCATTTTTCAAAATAATATTCCATATTTATTTTCGAAGTTGCAATTGAAGAATGATCAGAAAACAATCCTTATCCTCACAGGGCTCCAAGTTCAGAACATTCATAAGGAGATTCTGGACACATGTACCCTTTGCATTCGTTTGACTTCACTTCTTAAAAGAGAGCTTCGTCGTGTAGTTTAACTAGACTCTGCACACAGGGTAGGACACATGCTTTGGAGGATGTAAATTTTAGAATTTGTCTTCATCATTTAAGTCTGACACACAATATTTTTTTTTTTTTAAGGTTATTTTATTTCCATATTTAGGACATGTATAAACATACAATAATACAATATTACATGAATATGGAGAAACAAGCCTACGTTTGCACATTATTGGCTTGTGAAAATACATTTTATACAGCAGATATTTACACATACAATAGTAGTGTCATTATTTACATAAATGCAGTGTTCAGATGGGATGAAGATGAGTGATGATGATATGAAATTTGGCAAGGTACAGTAGCTATGGCACTTCACAATATTTTGTTAATAAAATCTGATGATAGATTTATAAGTGTTGAGTTAAGCTTTGGTGATAGTTCTTTATCACCAAATAAAATCATATCAACCTTGTCATATTTACGTTTACTGGAGAAAAGTTTGAGGTCAGGGTCAGCTTGCTGGGAGAGACTTAGGAGAAATGTTTGTCTTGCATCATGTGTAAGAGGGCAATCAAGCAAATAGTGTACCTTTGTCTGGTTTCGAAACCCACATGGACAACTTGGATCTTGGTAATTTACAAAGTTGTGCCGGAAAAAATCAGAGCGCAAAGACAGGTCACATCTCATTCGATTTAGTTTTATTTCCAAAGGTCTCTGGATATTTAAATGGGGTGTCAAAGCAGAGATCATTTTAGTCTTTTTGAAAAAGTGATTTGCATATGATCTTTTGAACTGTGACTTAGTTTCTTTGTTTTTGATTTGCACTGGGATAGGTATCCATATTTTAATAGGAGATATTGCAGGCGAATTTAGGAATTTTGATGATGCAGAGGCTGGGATTATATATTGACGTTGAGTTCTTAGTCCTGGTCTATAAGCTGGGTTTAAAAGAGGTGTGTATATATCTTGAACATAGGTGGGGACCATTTCTCTGTTGACTTTGAACATTAATATTGCCTTCTTTTCCTGTCTACGCTCAAGTAAGGATTTCCATCCCAAGGCTTGTAAAACTTTGTCAAAATTTGATCCGGTGATAGCACCTGAAACTATAAGCGCAGCACGATAGTGAATTCTATTGAGCTTTTCAATATGGACTCTTGAGGAGGAGTCAATAAAAGTTGAGCCTTGTTCTAAATGAGGAAGGATAAATGATGTATACATTGTCTCCAAGTGTTTTGATGAAATTTTTGACTTTAGAAACAGAAGTGGATTGAGCATTTTGCTAGTTTTCAAAACAATGGCATTGATGTGTTCCTCAAAATTTAGATGTTCATCAAGAATGATTCCCAGGTGTTTGTGACTATGGACTCTCTGAATTTGGTCATTATTTAAGAAAAGGGGTTGGTAATTTCTTAACTTTGCTCTTGGCTTTTTAAAGATTACCTCTCTCGTTTTACTAGGCTTAAATTTCATTTTCCATTTATTTGACCACAAATGTATTTTATTTAGATCAGACTGGAGTATATTGTGAGAGAGTGTAGTATTATCATTATAGGACACTTGAGCATAAATCGAAGTGTCATCAGCATAAATGAAACATGTGGAGTCTAGAATATCTGGAAGGTCATTTATGTACATTAGAAAGAAAATCGGTCCAAGAATGGATCCCTGAGGAACTCCAGAGTTTATGTATCCTATTTGAGACCAGATAGAGAAATCTGAGTTTACTTTTGTTCGTACTCTACGTTCACTTAAGTATGAAGAAAAAAGGTTAATGATATTTTCACCGAAACCATATGATTTTATTTTATGAAGAAGTAGCTCGTGTGGAATTTTGTCAAACGCAGATTCTATATCTAAAAATAGAGTTCTAACGTCTTTGTTACTTTCAAAAGATGTCATTATATAATTTGTTATACTTAAAAGTTGGTATTCAACACTATGCCCTGGCAGAAATCCAGATTGGTTTTTAAAGAGTAATTGATTTTCTATTAAGTGTTTAAGCATTTTCTGATGTATTATTCGCTCACATAGTTTGCCCACACAATATTATATTAGATACACTTGTTTTCTGCAATTAAAATATAAAATAGCTACCTAATTTGGACTATTTGGACAGATATTATCTTTCATCAAAATTCATAGGATAGTCATTCATAGTTATACTGATATTTATCCAGTAATATTTATTTTTCCATTAGCTGAATAATAAGCATGTATTGTTGATTGCATGACATCACGTTGTAAATGTACTATGGGATAAATAGGATATCCTATGAATTTTCATGATATCATTCTAATCTACTCATTCGCTATGCTTGCTTATCCAGATATTGATATCAACTCGTGGATAAACATGATATCACTCAAAATCATAGGATATCCTACATTTATTGGGGGAGAATATCAATATAGATATCTTCCATCACTGACAATATTCCTTTCTCAATAATATCTATACTTTCCCTTAAGATATACTCTACTTCTAATCCCTCCTCATGTATAACTCTAGTATTGTTGCAATTATATAATTATCAGCTATCTACAGCTATCTTCAAAATTTAGAATTTGGCCAAAGCTAAATTCAGTTTACACCAAAATAAATGCTGGTGTCTCCCTAGCCGCCATGTTAAAAGCAGCAATGCTTTCCATATATGACCTGTAACTTTGGATAAGCTTTAAAATGATGTATGACACATACTATGAGGACAATGGTACACATCTGCCTAGGGGGGGGGGCATACTTTCGGGACACCCTGTATTACCTATTCATTGGATAATCGTGTTTGCCAATGGCCTCCTGTGCTAGATATACATTAAAATCATGACAACCCACAAGTTCCATTAATTTTCATATTAATACAATGTATAAAATAACATACATGTATGTTGTCCTTACATTATAGTCCCAAAGTGGAAGTGTCATTCTTAATGGCCACCTTCATCTCATCATTCTTATGTTCAATATCAGCCTTAACCTGAAAAAAACATGGAATCTTAGAATAACATAATAGTAATGCAATAAACAACTTCATGCAGTATTTCAGTATGAATTCCATGTATAAACTGGAGATGAAAAAAGGCTAGAACAACTAAAACATAGTACCATGGGTACTGCGCTCACATGGGAAGGTTTCAATATTTATTAAGAGCTGACAATAAAAATCTGAAACAATTTTTCCAATACAATAAAAAACTCTCTAGGTGAAACACCTTTGAAACCTCTAAAAGTGTTTATCTTGGGACTCTGAAAAGTGTTCTACTTGGAAGGTACATTTAAACAATAAGAAAGGTTATTTTGGGACTCTGAAAAGTGTTCTACTAACAGAGATGTTGCATATTGCTGGAGGTGTAAACAAGGAAAACTGGTTGATATTATTCCCCTAGTTGATATTCAACTGATTGCATGCCCTTTATTGGGTTTCATTGTGTAAAAAATGAGAAAAAACTGGGTAGCCCGGTAGCCGAGGTTCCGGGTGACTGAGTACCTAACAGTCCTCACAGGGTTTAAATTTGATTTTTTTTCTTTCATGCTCAAAATGCATCTTAATAGTCATAACACTTGCCAGTGCTGAATATGTCCAAAACTACTTGGCCTTAACTACAGGGTAAGCCAAAAAAGGTAACCCAAACAAATCAGTCCCCGAGTATGGGTTCTAAGTCACATTTGACACAATTGAACCTTGTTCGATGTTCTTTCATTCTAGTAAGCTTAGTCTATTCCAAATGCCAAAACATACTGAAATAATGACATGCTTCGTGGAAGCTCATTTTCTATAAGGGCATTGGCACGTGACGCGTCAGGATTGGACCCCAAGGATATGAACCCCAAGAAGACCGTTAGGGTTATTTCAAAGATAATGTGTACACTCAATCCGATGTGTTCAAGTTTGCCTCAAAAACAAGATTTGCATTTTGAGCATGTTTTGTAAAATGCTCATAAAATTGTGATCATCTGGAATAATAGACAAATTAAACTTAGTAGAATGAAAGAAAATTGAACAATGTTATATGACTTAAATCTCATATCGGATGACTGAGTTATTAAGATTTGATTGGGTAACATTTTTAGCTCTCCATGTAGTAAGATTTACAAACATAACAGATCCTCTCCCTAAGGGCATTACACAGTACAGTAAAATCTGTCTAATCCGAACATACCCATGGGCCCAGACAAAAGCGTTCAAATTGGCAGGTGTTCAAATTTGGAGGATTTTGCTGGTCGGGGGATTTTCATTGTTCAGTCCACTTATTGCACAGAAAACAATACATGTTTTTGATGAGTTAATTCTACAATAGGCTATGTTTTATTTATATTTTGAATAATTTCATCATTTTAGTAAAAGCAACTCTTATATTTTGGCAAAAACTTTGTAATACACTGTAAAAGTATATGATAGTCTCATACGAAATCTTATGCTTATCAAATGGCTTATCCCATATTATGGTTATATAGCACTGCTTAACTTTTGCTTGAAAAAGTCCTTCATTGTTGCTTGTTTCTTGGCACTTTTAGCATTATAGCAATATTTGAGTATCATATCCTCTTCAACAGTTCAAGTAAAAAGAATTTTTCATGAGTGTTCATTCGAGATGATGTATAATCCTTCAAAATATCAAGGGCATTCAGGATGTCAGATGTATGCCTTTTTAGGAGACATTTTAGTGATAGGATATTACGAAGTTGAATTTTTTCTCTTTCTCGTGATATAATCTTGTCTGCAAATGTCGTCTGTGTTGTCTTTGTGATTATAAAACATTTACTGATTGAATCTTAGCTATCGTAACAGACCCATGGGATATAAAACAGGATAAACCAATTAACTCCTGTATTCACACCTTTCCAAAACATCCTGTGTTTTCCACAAAGGGATGTCATTGAGACTAAATAAGTTAATTAGGACAATATTGGTTCTTTGATTACATTGTATATGTAAAGATAAATAACAACTATAACACTGACTCAATATTTGGCTTTAATTGAAATGTCCAGACATTTGATTTCTGATAAAAATGTTCAGATTAGACAGGTCACTTTTTCAAATCTGGTTGCTCACTGTTCAATTTAGGAGGTGTTTTGATTTCAAGGTTTTTTTAACATGGGAGTCAATGGGGGGAAAAATGGGACCGAAAAAAAGTGTTCAAATTGGAAGGTGTTCGGATTAGTCAGGTGTTCAGATATACAGATTCTACTGTACTGTCAACCCCCAATGATTTTCTCGTGGGACAGATTTTTTTGACACAGTGCCAAAAATTTGCAGAATTTTGCAGGACATCAACCTGAATTCGCGGGATTTCGGGGGACATTTAAGGGATTTGTGTGATTGCTCTAATAGGTCAAATTTTGATCAAATTTGCGTATTTCGCGGGACCATTCGAGCAACAAACACGCTAATTGCGGGACAGTTAACAGTGTAACCACCAAAGACTTCATAGAGGTTTTTTAGACAAAGTGCCCTAAATTCGCAGGATTTTGCAGGACATCCACCTAAATTTTTGGGATGTCACAGGACATTCAAGGGATTTGCGTGATTGGGACTTAATGTAAAAGTACTCAAATCAAACTTTCAGATACTGATTTATCAAATATAATGCACTTAACTTAAGTAAACGTCAACACAATTCCACACAATATGCATAGAAATATTATTAAACTATCAAAAAAACACGCTTTGCTTTTAGGTGTGAGTACCGTAATCCAACACGAAATTCAAAAATTCTGAACAATACTTTGCACTTATGGGGTTCATGACCAACTATGAAACATTTACCCCCCATAGTGTTATACATTAAAACGTACCTATTCATATAGGGGTTTGATTAATCTACATCAAATTTTAGGGAGTCAGGTTTCTTTTCGAGATATGAGTGTCCATTTATTGGAACTCGCATTTGAGAAAAATGAAAATTGCACTCTTCCTCTTTATTTTGATACCAAATAATGGCACACTAGGTACTTGAGAAGCCAACTACATGGACTATATTCTCTTTCCAAAAGCAGTCTTCGATGATCTGATTATTTAGCCTCGGGGATAGTTACAATTTTGAAAATTCACGGAGGTCAAAGCTGACATTTGCGGGACTTCGCGGGACATTGCTGGACACGCGAATGAGCCAAATTTTGATCAAATTCTCGGGTTAATCCCGCCATTCGCGGGACATTCGACAGCTCTGGTTACACCTTAAAGGCGTGGTGCAAGGAAACACTAGCACTCATATAGATGCCAACCACCGAACCAACTGACATCCACCTCAACATACTAGCCATCCAACCAATCAAGTAACCAGCTAACCAACCATTCCGATACTGAAACATACTCAATATTATGAGGCATACATGTATGTAACCAAACCCGTCTGGCCCAGTTATCTACTCCCGAAGTCGTAGATCTACGACATCGGGAGTACTATGACGTCGGGAGTAGATAACTGGCCCACACGGGTTTGGTTAATGTATGATATAGTGTTCTGTGATCTGAGCCTTTGATTGAAACACTATATTTTTTATTAAATATCGAGCATAGGAGACAGGTTACCTGAAAAGGAAGATAGATATCATTAGAGGTCTATCTCTTATCTAAACAAGGACTGAAACTGAGGCAAGTCTACCCTGGCTGAAATCAGCTCTGAAATAACAATTACTGCATGTCAAGCCGTCATTCAATGCTGATTTTGTAGAAAACAGATCTGTCCATCCTTCTACATGTGAGTTTTTCCCATAAAGATGCTTAATTAAGTAGAAATTCATCAAATTATACCCCTAGAATATCAAAGTTCAACTGTACATCAATCGCGTGAGGAAAAAAAACAAATCCATTCTTCACCTTCTGTTCACAAACCCTTCTTCTTCTTCTTGGAAAAGTTGTCCCTCATTTGACTAACAGCAAATGTGTATGTTTATGCAGCAATATATGTTAGTTTAGAAAATGATTAATTACAATCTTACCTGTACTTCACAGAAACATCCTAAGTATGAAAATATTTCACTAAAAATACATGCTTCCATTTTGTCACATGTTCATAATAATTTACATATTGACCATGTGATGTTGACAGGGAGTGTAAACGAACCTAGCGTACAGGAAATATGTTATGATATTTATTAAGAAATTAGGTATGGTAATCATTATTAATTAAGCATTAAGTATTAAGCCCCCAACCCACTTCACAAAGTTCATGAAGTACCAAGGAAAGACCAAATATTAAATAAATTAGAAAAATTGGAATTTCCCAAAAAATCAAGTGGGCGATAATAGAGTCTCTGAAACATTAAATTTTTCCTCCATTAACTTATTACATACATTATTATTAGATAATATTAGTTTGATATGGTGTGGAAAGCACACAATGATAGATAATTATCGGGAGTATGCATTGAAAATTACAAAATATGTCACTTTTGCCATGTTTCAGAGGCTCTATTATCGCCCACTTGATTTTTTGGGAAATTCCAATTTTTCTAATTTATTTAATATTTGGTCTTTCCTTGGTACTTCATGAACTTTGTGAAGTGGGTTGGGGGCTTAATACTTAATGCTTAATTAATAATGATTACCATACCTAATTTCTTAATAAATATCATAACATATTTCCTGTACGCTAGGTTCGTTTACACTCCCTGTCAACATCACATGGTCAATATGTAAATTATTATGAACATGTGACAAAATGGAAGCATGTATTTTTAGTGAAATATTTTCATACTTAGGATGTTTCTGTGAAGTACAGGTAAGATTGTAATTAATCATTTTCTAAACTAACATATATTGCTGCATAAACATACACATTTGCTGTTAGTCAAATGAGGGACAACTTTTCCAAGAAGAAGAAGAAGGGTTTGTGAACAGAAGGTGAAGAATGGATTTGTTTTTTTTCCTCACGCGATTGATGTACAGTTGAACTTTGATATTCTAGGGGTATAATTTGATGAATTTCTACTTAATCAAGCATCTTTATGGGAAAAACTCACATGTAGAGTCC